AGCCGTCAAAGAATTCGGCTTTCGGGCGGGTTTAAATATTTAAATGAAAATTCGCCAAAACGCAAATTCCGTCTTCAAACAATGTACCTAACCGAAATTCGTTCGCGCCACTCGTCTGCAAAATATACAATTGCCGCCGCCCTGTGTTAAATCAACCGAGTCGGTAAATCCAATATTATACAATCGATCCCGATCCCGTTCCCGTTCATTCCCGTCTGGAAAAAAAATATATATAAATAACACCGATACCTGTTTAAACCAACCAATAATAATAATCCAAATCTATTATATATATGTTGTTTAAAATCTTTCGCACGAGTGCACGTGGCGGAAGAAACATGCTCACCGTTGGAAAATTCAAATATGCAAAATAATTTAATTGCATCGAAATACGAATTATCCGCTTTGTTTTTTTCTTGCCGCAGTGTTCGGAAAAAACCAAAAAAAAAAAAAAACTGATTGATATCCTTTGGAAATAATATTCTGTTGTTTTATGCGGCTAAAAGTAAATCGAACGGTGAAATATTTTTTTAGACCAGCGTTGCTGCCAAGTGGAAAATGTTGGATATTTTTATCGCACATAGAAATTCACAAATATAATACAAAACAAATATTGGAAATTTATTTTGAAAGATAAAATAAATGCCATAATATTATAATGTATCATCCGTTCTGCTGCACACAGGCCAATGCGGAATTCCATTGACTAATTTTATCGGTTCATATTTGTTTTAAAATGTTTGCTTTTATCTAACGAGAGAGAATCGTTGTCAATGTTTTTCTATTTCTTCAGTGGCTCAAAGTATATAATTTTTAATTCTACATTTCATTTTCTATACTAAAACAGCGTGTTTTCATCAAGTCTAGATTCACAAACATATTTTGCACAATTCATATAGATTGTAATTTGCATAAATAATATAGACAATCTCTTTATTATGTGTATTCAATTTTAAACAACAGTTTTTGTAAAATGTGTATGATAATACTGTCGAATTGACAGTGTCCACTAATTACACTGTAAGACAAGATCATAATTATTTTATTATTTTATACTGTTATCAAAACATATTTTCATACAATTAAAAATTTCTTAACCAACAGTTCATTACATAGAGATTTAGTGTGTTAGTCAGAGTTCCAGTTCATAAACAGAATAATATTCTAATTGAATAATAATATTCAATGTTATACGCTATGAGTGTTAAGTTTTGAAATTTAATGGAATTCTTCAAATCATACCTACCCGAGCAGGTAGACGTCTGCAGACGGTAAAAAAAAGTGATAATATTGTGTACTTCTCTTTCCTTTCTGGTCCTCGATTTTCCGCCAGTTAAAACTTGGAAAATAATTGTTATTATTAACTTTTGCCGGCGAATCGTCTCACTGCAGAGGCGCGGGGGTGTATCCGACCAAAAAAAAAAAATTTCACACGCCTCCGGCAACTGTTTCGTGCGATCCGAAAAGTGGCAAAGATATTATTGTGTGCGAAGGGCCGACTCCGGGACACTTTGCATTTAGACACGACAGAGAGAGAGACTTGGCCCGCGGAAATGAATATTTAAAAAAAAATATATATATTTCGAAATGAAGATTTTTAATTACCGTTTGAAACACAGAGGGGCCATTATCATCATTACGGCGGCGGCGGCGGCACCGATATTATTAACCGTTAAGAACAACAATGATAAATGATAAACAGATAAGATACAGAGCCGTTGGGGCGGTGGTTTTTTTTTTTTTTTTAAATTTAAATGGAAAACTCCGCGGCTTATATTACAATATATTATAGTGACCGCGTTTTTAACGCCTCGGCAAAGCGCGGAAGGGCAGCAAGCGGCAGAAGTGGTGCTTCTTGCTGTACTCTTCCTCCGAAAAGCCGCATAAACGAGCTCGATGAATTAACACAGAAATTAATATTCATCGAGCGAATATCACAGACCCTATAAGCCCCGGATACAATCTACCGCCGCGGCCGCGCAGAGTAGGTAGGTATACGCGCCAATTTTAAATAGTCCGCCCCCCCCCCCCCGCGGGTCTTTGCCGATCCATTTAATACCGAATCCCGCGCTTCCTAACATAATGACTTTGTGCGGCAAATCTTTTGTTTCCGTGTCGATTGCAAAAAGCGCCGTCGCCGGGGGACGCGAAACTTAAATGGTTCCGAAACTAAGGTTTGAATTTTAATCCGGATAATTTGCATAATATACGGCCGCGGTGGCGTCGGTGCCGGAATCGACTTAAGCCGGGCTAAAAATATTATCTACTGTGTACGGTGGGTATGCGGTTAAACGCGACATCACACACACACACACTGGCTCAAATATCATTGTTATTGTCTTGCCTGTATTATTATTATGATAATAAATTGCACGCCGCTCCGGTCCCGCACACACGAAGACGTTGACGTGCCAAAGCTTCGACCCCATACACCTTTACATATTGCCGCTATACTACACCTACCTAGAAATACCGGCGGTGTTCACGTTCACCTGTTGACTTGGGTAGAATTTCAAATAAGACCAACGAATAATAGATAATTTGACGAACGATGATAGATCTGATTTTTCGATAATCGCCCAATGACATTGTTTTTGTAACTCGAAAAATAAAAAATACCTAATTATTTTTTGTTATTATTTATGATAAACATTCGTCTCGGACGATTTCAAAAAATTTGTTCAACATAAAAAATCATAAATAAACAGTATACATTATGGTTTTATTTGAAAATAAAATTATTATTACCAATAGCATTTTTATTTATAATTTTTTATTAGTACGGTGTATAACGAATAAAAAATTCTTGTCATAAATAATTAATTAAAAGCTAAAAATATTTTTTTTCTATCGCTTTATCTGCTTAGACGGTAATAAAAAAAAATTGAAATTGCATACAACTCTAATCTCGTGTTTTTTTAATAATATTATTGATTGAAAGGTTGTGACGAGATAGATGCAAGCCGGCTCGTGAAAACCCCGAATCAGAACTACTACAAGGTTTAATTCATACATTTAATTACTTTTTCCAAAAATTTGAATTCAAATTATATTAACTAGATATTATTTGTATATGTACATTTTTTCTTGTTTCGGTTTTACAAATCGATCAAGTAATTTGTTCAAAAATTGCGTTTAAAAAAAATATATTTCTGTATTAAAATATATATACCTACAAAATATTATAAAATTTCAAATTAATCCAAAAACTTTCTCGTTTTCCATTACCTATAGGCACCTACATATGTAAAAAAAACATTGCATTCTATACATACATATTATGTATGTATATATTTATTGGAAATTGAAATTCTACGAGTGGACGATAAATTTATAGGGCCGAACTCACGTTTTAGAATTTATTATAAGGCTATATTAATACCTACGTGGGCGGCCAAGCGGACGTGCTACGTTATTTTAAACGACGTTCAAATAGTACTAAAATCGATGAGTTAAGGGTTGGTAGGAAAGGTTAGGTAGTTCAAATATTTATAATATATTATTATTATAATATACCTTTATGCTTTCGAAATAATGATTTTCCGAAACACTTAACGACTTCACAGCTAACTCCTTGAGTTCGGAATAACAAGATGATGCTCGGCGAATTTCACAAATATTTATTACTTTGGCCAAGTGAATAATGTACGCCAAATCGCTATACATTATATATTCTACTAGTCCCTCTAGTACTACTATTAGATATAATTTTGTTCTTGCACTGAATGTACATTTTAGAAGAAATCAAGACTGAACATTTTTGGGTTGATTTTACGTGGAACGATTCACATTGCATTATATTTGTGGTACAGTTTGCCAGCGCCTTTTAAAATTAATGGGAGAGGGTTTGTCCTCGGAGAATACATATATTCCTCCTATCGGTGTGATAGTATAGATAATAAGAGACATAATTGCAGGATTACTTTCTAGTCGTACAAGCTATTACAGAGGATCGGCAATGAAATGTGCGGAGGGAACCTTATTATAGATTAGTGTGATAACACCCTGTTCGTTTGAGAGTACTAATCTACACGTTTGGTTTTATTTGTATTTTGCCAGACCGCACTTTGGCAATAAAGATACAAATGGCTGTCTCGAAACATAACATATAAATCTAATTAGACCGATAGCGGAAACTACTAGTTACGGCCGACTAATTCAATTAACAAAAGGATATTGGCCTTTGAAAGAGTCCGAATAAACCCTACTCGGAACTAGGGCGAACAAAATAAGTAGATTTTTCACAAAGAACTAGCTTAGTTTTGGTCACACACAAAATCATCATTGAAAATTATGAGTCATCTTTTATTTTTGTTTTAAACATTTCTGTGTGCAAACGTGTATAAAATAAAAATAGCGATTAACGTTTGATTTATAAAAGTTATTCAGGTGAATAAGGATTTATTTTAAATGCATAGCCTATTTTTGTATGCATGAAATGCATTTTAATATATTTGAAGTTGTTTAAAATTTGTTGAATCCTTACTTGTTGTATTCATTATATATAACTTACCCAAAATTTCAGGTCTCTGATCTCGGCAAGATTTATATTTTATTATATAATTTTATCATGTGATGAGGAAAGTGAAAAGGACATCTTGTCGGCAAAGGTGATTTTGAGAAAAACGCCAAAAAAAATGTGCAAATTATGTCTTTTTTTTCGCTATAAAGATGTACTAAGTCTCAAATTTTTTAAAAACCTATGAAGATTTAGACAATAGCACTTACTCAATTTTGGAAAATTCCGACAAGGGGCCCCTATCGCTACACATATTTTATAACGCAATCAAAACAATACAACATAAAAAATAGATAAACATGGAACACGTTTTATGTTACTATTTGTTTTTCACAATGTCATAACGTCTTTTGCACTTAACTGTAAATAAACAATCGTAAATATTAAAAAAAAAAAAAAAATTACAATAAAAAAAAAACTTTTTATATAAGCAACAAATATAAAATTAATCAATATCAATTTTTTTTTAAATAACAATGTATTTAACAGAAAAATAATTTCAATAAGTCATATACTTTTTTTAGTAACTAAAAACTTTTGTTTCAATAAATTTGGATTTTTAGGCGTAGAATATTTCAGTCCTTGTTGTTATATTAACATTGTATTCATACACTAAAAATAAAAATATACATATATTATATATATATAATCTATATAAAATTACCTGGAACAATTCGTAAAATAATATAATTTAACTGAAAGGACAATACATTACACAGTTTTATATATATAAAAAAATTCATTGAGACTATTAGCACAAATCTGTTATTGAAATTCCAGAAAAACCGTTTTAGTTTTGACTGACGTTTAGCATAAAATTAAAAGTCAAACATTTTCCCTGATTTTATAATTCACTACAAGTGTTAATAAAACTCGAAGGCGATGTAAAATTAAAATGATGGTATGTCCAAAGTCTAACTACTTTTAATAATCAAACAAATATTTATTGTATAAAATTTATTATATCAATGTAGCAACCTCGATAAAAAAAAATATCTATTTATTAACTCAATCTGAAATTTAAAAGTAGTTTTTACGAAGTATTATATGATATCCTTTATATCATTCTGATTGGAAAAAAACCAAGAACATTCACAATAGAATTCTACAAGAGAGGAATTCTAACGTATTTTACAGAGGGCAAGACAAAGGGATATAATTTATCATCTCACCTTTGATATAATTGAGTATTATAAGAAATACGGGTTGTGTGATCTTCTTCGGCATCAAATATTTCCACTATAGGAACTCCATCTTTGTTTGTCGATATCAATACCACGTCCAATAATTTTTCAACAGCCATCTCGTACAATGCTCTAGATTTGCTTTCAGTGAATTGTTCGGGAGGAAATAAATGAAAACTTACTTTTAACGCCTATGAAAAATACACAATGAAATATTAGTTCATCATGCAACAAATACATTTATTTCTAGCACGTCGTAGCCGTAAGTTGTGTGCATCCACACTCGCACTTTTCTGAGTACGCATGTACTGCAACCGTACATGAACATCATTTTAAGTACACCACCGGACCAAAGTATAATGACAATACGGATTAACCAACCTGAGGAGGAATGGCGGCCAACATTGGGTCGAGCGTATCGAGAGGAATAAACTTGTCTTGGTCGATCAAGGAACAGTTACCGTAGTCAATGAAGTACACTTTAAACTAAACACAACAACATGATGAATAGAACTAAACAATAACAATAATACATTGTAAAACTATATTAACCTGCTGATCGATGAATATGAAATCTGATATAATTGCTCTACTCCAAGTGTCCAGTTCGAGACACTTAACCAGATACACCTTGTTGGGAGAAATGCTTTTTTTCGAATAGAACTTTTCTAGAGGCCGTGACTCAGATATCGAATCCAACACGGATTCGAGCACCAACAGCGTTTCGTTCACAGGATGCAAATACATGTAGCCGTCAGCAACAAACGATAAGTGGGCTTGACATTTTGACTCATCAATCTATAGAACAAAATTGAAATTAGACAATTTTTTTATTTGCGCCTCAGTATAATTATTGGATCACCTTGTTAAATATGCATTTGTTAACAAACACTTCCATTATATTGTTGTTAATGTTGGTTTTTCCGTTATATAATGTAATCATTTGTATATCACTCTCGATGTTATCGGGCTTAGCTATAAATTCTCTGCCCAACAACATTGACTGAAGGATTCTCATGCCGGTTGGAAAGTAAGGCGCAAAGAACATATTGGTAAGGGCACAACCGACAGCCTTAAAAAAACATATAATTATTAAAATACAATAGATGTAATCAGAATTCAACTATTTACCTGAGAGGGCACACTTAAGAACTTTTGAGGCAAGAACATAATATTTTCATTTGAACAATTATACTCAATTCCCAAATCAATAAAAATTCCAGTGATATTGTCTTCGATCTTATTCACTTGATACCTTTGCCATTTACCTTCAAATTGAACGGCGTACACTTCATTAAGGTCGACTTTGGATATTTTAATAAAACTTCTAGACTCCCCCGGCATATTCATCGTACTGGACAAAGCGTTTACTTGATTCTGAAAAGAAATATTACGAGTAAACACCTGTTGAATCAAAACCGAATATGAAAATAATTGTATTACATTAATCGTGTCATGATTAAAACGTATCCAAACTCTTTGATTACTATCGATACACGTTACAACAACGTGTTTTTCTGCTTTGTTGACAAATTTAATAATGGGAGCATTGCGTTCACTGGCTGTAGGACCAACCTCAGATGGAACATTATTATTCTAAAAAATTGTACATTAAAAATTAGAAACTTTGAGTAAAGTACATTTTTTTAAACTAAACTTACATGCGGTGAATAATACAAAATGGCTTTTTCTTGTTTGGGCAATTCCTCGACTAAAATATCTTTTTTCAAATTACGGAGCCGATTTAACCAATTATCTGGCAGGCACTCGTGGTAGACCTCTTTGTAAATGTCTTCTACTTTGTCACAAAATAAACCGGCATAGTTTTTCTTTAATTCCTAAAAAAAGAATCATCATTGTTAGTAAAAAAATATGAAAACTGTTCCCACATAACTAGTGTAGGTAGGTTAGGTACAATTTCCAATCTTTCAATAACTATGGACATTTCTTTTGTTACGGGTATGTCGGTATTATCATATCTTTGTTTTAAGATCCCCAGTGCATTGCGTGCTGCTACTTGTTTAGCAATTTCAGGCAGCGAATACTTTTCCGGAAATGAACTCGCAAGGGATGACATACCAAGCTGAAATGATTTAAAAATTAAATAAATTATAAGATAAATAACATTTTTTTTAAGTTTCAATGCTGTATCATAAGTTATGATACATAACATATCAATATTTACAACGATACAACTTAAAGAATAAAAAAACCATAATAACAACAATAAGTAAATAAAAAGTGATAACACTTTCTTAATTATTTTTTTTAATTTTTAAATAGTTATTAACTAAATGTATATAGTAGAAAAATAACTTAAATTTATTTGTTGTTATTCAATTAAAGAATTAATATTACATACAGTTTTGTTTACGAACTCGCTCCCCGTAAATTACTTAATTAATTATTTAATAATTGGCCAGCTTTCAAGATTTGAAAACTTTTTCAAACTATTATTTTCATGTACTACAAAGTACATTTTTAAACTACCAACAACACACAAATCAAACCCATTAATGAATAATATATCTTAAGCATTAAAATAAATTAAAATTTATTATAACATCTTCTTTTTTTGTACACCGGTATGAAAGTAATCCGTTTGTGTAGAGAGAAAAAACCAAATTTTAATTGTTGAATCTCTTTAAAATTTTACCTTTATATTGGCATAATATGCAGGCATGTTCGCTTGTGATTTACATTGAAAAACAGTAAATTCTACTTTGCCGAGATTCCTTTCATCCACATATGCTAGTAAAATTTTTATATTATCTATGCCGCTATACTCCTGTACGTTTTGGTCAATGACATCGGTCTATAAAAAAATAACTATAAGTAATTAAAGAAATTAAAAGTATAGCTATAAAAGTGTGTGTGTGTGTGTGTGTATATATATATATATATATATATATATATATATACCACTACGTTAGTTAGGGTGTTTTTTTTTAAATATATAATTCTTAGGTAACTCTTACAGGATCATAATGAAAGTTATATTTTTTATTTGAACGACCGTGTTTCAGGTTTTTTTTTATGTTATCGCTAATAATACTACTGTCTTTATTTTGCAACCAACTTTCATTTAGGTTTTGTGTACTTGCCATCTAGAACAAAAAAAAAATTCTATAATTAATTATGGAAAGCTAATATTTAGAAGCATTCATTAGCATATTTAGAAGTAGTCTTTTTATTATGTCATCATAAAAAATATAACCATCAATTGTTGGTTATAGTTACTTTCTAGGCAATTTATATTTTAAACGATACCTAATCATAATTCCTATCGATACCTCTTAATACTTATCGGAGTACTAGTTACAAGAATCAAGATAAAGGTAAATTATTTTTTTAATCGATGACGCTATAGTAATTTGCCATCACAGGTATTTGATATTTCATAACAGCGTGGAAAAATAATACTGGTGTGAATTTAAGAAATTAATTTAGGTAAAATTTGGTAGTACCAGTTCCATTTTTCCTTACCGTTTTGCCGATAGAGTTAGCTATACTAATACTGACGCTATCATTAACGTAATTGATGTCATGGCTTTAAATGATTTGGGCCATTTGAGTTTAATACATTCATTATTTCAAATAAATTAACCAAGGTGTGTTGTTTTTATTTAGTAATAATTATAGCTGGACTGAATTGTCTAATGACCCGATCTGATAGTTTACACCAGTCCGCCGTCCTTGGAAATACTACGTCTTAGATCTTCTTCTGTCATAAGACTGTTAGTAGAAGAAAAAAAATTATTTTGAATGGGTAAAATTATTTTCTACACAACATAATGAAATGCCTATACAATTTTATGAATGACAATTGACGTGTGACACGTTTGTATTTGTCCAGTAGAAAACGGTTTAAGTGTGTGAATTTTACTAGTTTACAAAAACACATTTATAACCGATTAGATAATAGATGAGCACATCAAAACAGAAGACAAACATCATGTAACAAATTGACGATTAGCCGTGTGTACAGCACAGGTGAAACAAAAGAAAAAAAACGCTAACTTTCATGCACCCTAGACCTATCATGTATGGAGTGTCCACTTATGGATAGTAGACGTGATGTATCAAAGCATTTGGCAGTCGAAAATAGGTAGCATTCCAAACAAACCGTCGTTTTCTAATTAGACAAAACGGTTGTCTATTGACGATAGGCCAGACAAAAACATAGCACACTACACACGTTATGGCGGCATTTAAAACTTACCTCGATTAAAGTCGCGTACTTGCAAAACCGACCGGTGAAAATTAAATACAAGTTACCGTTGTGAAACAATAATATACACTTAGAAATAACAGTTAGAGAATTTGAAAAAAATCAAAATAAACTCTCGTGTCAACTAAGGCATTGTTCGTTGGAAATTGTCTAATAAAGTTCACACTTCGCTGTTAGGCAAACCGGCGTAAAACAAAAATAAAAACATCAGCTACAAAGCAGCTCTTGGCGTTTACAGTGTGGCCAACCTATCGTGTACCTCATGGCTCTCGACTTTGATTTCTCGGTTAACCTAGGTATCACTTTACGCGGTAAACCGCCAACACTTAAAAATATTGCCAAAGTTGTGTGGTTTTTTTTCAAGTTAATGAGATTAAATATTTTTGCTATTCACGATACTGTTGTAAATACATACTATTATATTGTTATTGAATACTATTTTTGTTCGATAATTTTTCTATATATATTCTTGAACATTTTATTTTTTATTTATATTTTTATTAGCTAAGTAACTTAACATACCCATACACATTTACGCCAGACACGTACATTATTTTGTAAAGTATTTGACTTGGTAGAGTACCACAGCGGGTTTTTTTAGATGCGTTTAAGCTTCTAATACATTTTATTCGAAATTAAGGGCATAAAACGGGACGTTTGAATAATTAAAATGAACAATTAACAACCATTCATATTTTTTTGAAAAATAAACTATTAAAGTAAGAATTGTTTTTACTTTAAATTTTTTAGTGAACAGAATATTTTGATAAAAAAATTGTATGTAAATTTTAAAAACAGTTTTTTTTCTTTTGAAAGTCGGACAATTTACTGTATGACGTAAATAATGTTTTTTTGAATAAAGTTATAGATAATTTTCAATTTTAACTCAGTACTTTTTAATTATAAGATGTTAAAATATACTACATAGTTAAATAAAATACAAACATTTTTGGCTATTTCAAAAATTGCATTTACTTTTTCCCTACTCCCTTAAAGCTACCTTACTTAATTCTAAACGATGTAATGAGAAACAAATGCGTATATTATGAGGTTTTATACAACTTTACAGGAAAGCAAATTATAAAATTATAATTTCAATGTATGCTTATGTACAATGCTCATAATTATTATTTTTTTATATCAAATTTTAATAAATTGTAATACAGACAAGTAGAAAATGGCAAATGTTTTTATCAAAACATATTTTATGATCGAAAACTTGAATAAAAAAAAAAATGTCACTTGTACCTTTTTGGGAGGTACTCACCACTTCAAACATATTATTAACTACAAAAACATATATTATTTACAACTTTATATATTACATGACTTGGACTAAAAATAATAATAACATCTATACCTAACGAGTATTTATAAACTTAATTATTATTGATTACATTTACGTTTCTACCGCGAACTCGGTACCCATACATAGATATATTATAAAACCGCCCAAAGTTTCACTAGAACTTGGGTGTACAAAGTTTTAACTTCAGTACAAAAAGTGTTTGATGGTATAATATACACGGTCTAAAGAATACATCAAGGACCTACTTATATTCATAAACACGAAACGTAAAAAAAAAAATGTAAATAACAGGTATATAATATTCTTCTGCGAATTTCTAAAAAGTTATACTCAAAACTTGTTTCTGTAAAGTTTTTGCCGTGATAGACGCAGAAAAAAAATGTCCAAGCATTTCTTTTAGTAGTAACTTAAAGAATTTATAGCAATATTAATAATGATAATAATATCTAGGTAGTAACAAATAACAATGCGGTAATGTCTTCCTGGATGTATAACTATATACCGTATCGTTATCCCTCTAATGCGAATAATGCGACTATGCGAAAATTTGTACACGGTATTATAATATAATATTATACTATACATGTGATTATAACAAGATGTCATTTTGGGAACTTCGTCCCAAAAGCAACGCAGTTAAACGAAACCCGACTAAATCTGCTTTTAAGCAGGAAATAGGGTTGCGGTTTTTGTATACATGATGTGAATGAAAGCTATACATATATTATTAGACACGGTCAGAGGCCGCAGTTATATTTTAGGTTGTATATTCTGTATACACCCTGTAAAGGATCCTCTACAAATGTGTATTTGTGGTATATAATATATGCGACACTAATGGCTTCAGTCATACATAAACTGAACTATACCATATTATGGACAATGATTTAAACTGTATTTCTTCTCGTTAATAACTAATACACTATATAATTAATATCTATTATTTTTTCTAATAATTTTTTTTAACTTTCAAAAAGTCGGGTTTTTAAAAAATATATTTCTTATAAATGATCTACTATTATCCTGATATTCTTAAGAAACATTCGTTTTTTTTTCCCGTATAGCTTAGCATTTTTCTGGCATTTTGATCCATAAAGAACAATGGACAGGTAATACAAAACTTGAACTTCTTTTTTGAAACAAAACCTATATATCTTAAAGAATTTTTTTTGAATCCAAATCTGTTTCAATTTTTAACACAGTTTTCTTTATATAAATAACTATTTGAAATAATCAAGAAAATTTATTTAAAATAAACAATTATTTGATGCGTTATAAATACAAATTGATTTCAAATATCTAATTATTTTCAATAATATATTGTTGATGTTTACGCGCGTTTGGTCAATGAAAATTATTTTCCGCATTACATCAGTACCAAACACTTGAAGAAAAAACAAATTTTTTTATGATTTTTATACGCAAGTACACGCCACGTTATACTTGAACTTGTTCGCACGTGGTTTTGTTTCTTGTAGGTCGGACGACAGCGAAATAAATTGGAAGTGCTACTTATTTGCGTATAAACATGTTACGCCGAATACCTATATGAATATATTAGATTCTATACAATATGTGTGTGGTAATTGGTATAAAAGAATCGCGCCAAGCTTTAGCCTGACGAACAGCAATTTTTTGGGGTTTTTTTTTTGTTCAAATTAACGACCATTTCAAATGCATTACGATTCGTTAAAGTTGGCCTAAGGGGATTTATCTCGCGTGTCGTCGCGTTATAAGGGCTTATAGGTTACGATACGACACATGACACATTTGTTTTTCCGGTTTTTGTTTAGCAGCTCTTAACCGCAGTTGTTTTATTTATTTATTCTTTTTGTTTTTACAGTTTGTAACCAATTTTCTCGAGGCGTGTACTCCATGTTGGGAAGCGTGAGCCCCGACTCGTTCGATACGTTACATTCCTACAGCAATACATTTCAAATGCCATTCGTGACGCCATGGTTTCCCGAACAGGTAAGCAATAGTTACTTACAGAAAACTTACATTGCAATTAACGCAGATTTTCGTACGGCGTTTGTCTGATTTAGACACGCCAATATTGTATCGTCTTTTCGCTTAGATAAGACAATAATATAGGTTGTCTCAAAGGAGAACGTTGGATAGCCAGGAACAAAAATTGTCATAACTTTTAGAATTTTTGTGCTAGAGAGCCCAACTTTTTGTCAGATGATTCTAGTCATTCTAGTATCATCTGACAAAGAGTAAGGCTATCTAACATAACAATTCTAGAACTTATGACGATTTTTGTTCTTAGCTATCCGGCGTTTGAGACACCCTATGATAATAATAATATGAGCTAATAACCTTGAATAATACGTGCGACTGATAATATCAATACTCCGCTTAATATTATCCGATAATACAATACTGCCCTATGAAAAATTATAAATGATTATCAGAAAGAAATATACGAATATCAAACTACTTACGGCAATGATAATAATGTAAAAGTTTCATTTAAAACCTATAAAAATTCTATTCTAAAACTATAAATAATAAAACTATGATAAACTGTAAGAATAATTGTGGTGTTTAGTTGTAGTTGTTATAAGTAAATAAACGCTGAACCAATAGAAGTTTTAAAATTGGATACAAAGAATATATTTTGGAAATTAAATTTAAAAAACCATCTCAAAAATCAAATTTTACTAAATGCACTTGCTAAGAATATAATCACGATATACCTAAATTTCGAAATAAACATTATTTAAAATTCAAAGGATTATTTTTAAGTTTAGTAATAGAATAATTAATATTATTTATAATGAATTAAAAAAAAACAAATACAGTAATATTTAAAATATCCAAACTGACTTTAAAAATAATAAATTATGGAAGACAATGTTTTTACCAATACATTTTAGACGATGAAAAATAGTACATATTAATTACCTACTATCTACATTTCTGGGTTTCGACGAGCATGTTTCTAGTGGCACCATCATGGTATATTTGGTTTTTGTGTAAATTCTTAACACTATAAATAGTTTTTTTTTCAAAAATCTAAAGTAAAACTGGAAATAAACTAAAATTTTTATTAGAAATGCAATGATAATTCTTATGAAATTGGAAATTGTTACCTGTGGATATTTACTTATGTACTGTTATTTTTATTAGTTTTAATATTTTAATATATTATATTAAACAAATTATTTTTCAAAAGTAATACCAAGTTGGCAGATTTTTTAAAAAATATTTTGTGTTTCGTTTACACTATCATACATGTTTCAAAAGAATTGTCAAAATATTCAGTTAATTGTTCTCAACTTACAAAATCAGGAGACACCTAATTTTCAAGCGTTAAACCATACTTATATGCAGAATGTGTTTTAGTCGCCCGTGATGATTTTGGAGCAAAAATATTCATAAAAAAAACGAAAGATAACAATATTTTGGAGACAATGTCATATCCTCTTTTTTTGATAAACCTAATATTAAACATTAAAAATAAAATTTTAAAATATTACGCTACGATATTCCGAGAAATAAATTTACCACCAAAAGAGTACTAATTGCTCTGAACTAATAATTTATACACATTTAAGATTTTGGAAAAAATTGCCTAAACCTAACTCCTTAATAAATAGGGGGGATAACTATAGACCTATAAACTAGTTTATATGTCTATGGGTCTATAACGTCCTCTTAACAACACAAATAGGTTACCAATTTTTTTATTTTCAATTTTTAATCATCCGGTAATACAGTTTATTTGAAAGGTTATATTTCAGTTATTTTACACTGATTGTTTTATCGACCAATAATAATAACAATTAACTCGATTGCGTGACACGAATAATGAAATTGGTGTGTGTGTGTGTGTGTTTGTATTGCACACAGGTATTGTCCCCGTCGTCGGGAATGTTGGATTATGCGGTCAGTTTGAGACCAGACTACCACCAAGCCATTCTGGACACGGTTCGATATTACGGTTGGACAAGCATCATATACATGTACGACTCGCACGACGGTAAGTGGAAATTTACATTTTGTGTATTAATTACTCGATCCTATAGGTACCTATATAGGTTAAACTACAGCTGTATCATAAATAATAATAATAATAATACGGAATGCAGGCACATATATAATAATATTATGTATATATAGATGCATACACTGCGCCTCCGTACCGAGGTAACTCCTTGGTCTTACCCTGTATAGGCACGTGACTGAAATTAATTGATGTACAAACAATTAATAGCGTTACACAAATTAGCTTTTGTGTATTATGCGCGCACGCTAGTAAAAACACCCAAGTATACAAAAACGGCGCGTTAAAGGATCTTGTATTTTTATTTAATTTTTATGTTCAACAAAATGTGATTAGCCCGAGGGATGAAACCTTTTTTCTGTTAAGTCTGAGGGGTGGAGGGGTTGCGAAGTGAGATTAAAACATAATGTAGAATACTCGTACAAAGGGGGAAACAAGCATCTAGTTCGTCAGTACCTTTGACTCATAAAGTTGAACAATGTAATTTTGTAGTGTGTAGCACAATATTAGTCTAATTTGTGGAGTTTTTTTAAAATTAATTTCTACGTTGGTAACTACGATTATTTTTTAAAAATTATGCCTACAAGTATTATGTCTACTGCAGTAGGATATGTTTGACGGCTGAACAAAATTGAATGTAAAACTATTCATACAACTATTGTTCGTCACCCATGTTAAATACAGCTAATTTAAGTTGTTGAAAATTCGGTCTCATCTCGGATGACCCTCTGATACGCTACTGTTTTGTTGTTGTACACTAAACTTTCTTAGGGGTCATATGGGACGCGAGAGCTTAGTCTAACTCATATTAACTTTACTAAAGGCCCACGCTTTGTTTTACTTAGTTAGTATACCGACTACCGTTTAGTTACAAGTCTATAGTCAAAGTTATTCTATAAACCGTATCCATCAATGTTGGTTAAAAAAATAAATCCATGGTTGATCGATGAGCAAAGTTTATACAAATAATATCAATGACATGAAGTGTGTTCGTTGAATTCGCCATTGTCAAACGTTAGGCATTTGTATTATGATTTGCAAAAATTACTAATAAATTATAAAAAAAAAAACAGATCTGGTTCTAGTAAGAGAAGGAATAACTATTCATCCTGCCCTGCTCAAATGACGCATCTTCAGGTAGACTTCATTTTAGTATTGTTTTATAATTAGTTTTCATATTGTGTCCTAACAGTAGGTTGCACAATATATTGATCAATTCAACGTCCCGGAAACTATATTAAATTTAAAAACATGGAAACAAAACCAATATTAATTATTCCTTGTAAATTTACATCATTCTTATACGCACAACCATTCTCATAAGTTAGAAGAAAATCGGCAAATCTTTCGCATTAATTGTCGCAGCTGTTATTTTGCACCTAAGGGTAGAGCAGAACTTTCTACCGTGTATTGTAAATTATAAAATACTCAAAACTCCAATAAAGCCGTGTAACGACGTGTCGCTGTGTAGCTCGAGGGAAGCGCTGCTATTTTTGTATTAAAATAATAGCAGAATTAATTAAATTACAGTTGATCGACAATAAATGCACATTTTAGTTCATAATGATTAAACTTTATATTTCGGCAACTATTCACCGCTCGAGGAATTATTTTTGTTAAGAACGTTAAAACGATTTTTCGGGATAAACGTGTATTGGCAACGTTAAAACTAATGTGGTGACTGGAGGGGAAGGGCTGGCGCAACGAGGAGGTTGATAATGTTGAAAAAGAGAGGTTATAGGTTTGATGGCAATTACTCTAATAATATTATGAAGGAAAGTAGAACGTCGTACTGACTTTGAACTTTTACACGGAAACGTTAAATGTATTAAATGTACACGAATGTGTTTATTATACAAAGTTTAACGGACGCGATAATGGTTTTATGTTGAAACTTTTTCAGTGAGAAAACCCGTGTAGATTTTTATGAGTCGTACAGCATTCATAAAACAAATCGTCGAGCACAATGTCTACGATAAAAATAATTTAACGTTATGCACTTGTATTGAAACTTATAGAGTATTATAACTTATTATATATTGCCATAATGGAGTAACGTCCACCCAACATAATTGGGTTTAATTAAAACAGGGAAAAAAACCTGCAATAAGTAATGCAGTGCTGCTTTTGACCACATTTACACTGCAGCTTGTCCCGCAGCATAGCACACGAATCACGCGTTTAATTTTCGAGTACTTACGCATGGTGTCTGTAACACACTTCTTCTCTACACTGGCTGAGATAATAAATCAAACGGATGGCGCCACGTGTTATATTATTACCATTATTAAACGTCGTTTCGGTGATAAATGCACGAACTTGCTTTATAATGCGAATATTGTACTTACGTCTGACGAAGACCTGACGCCGAGAAAGAGACCAAGCGTTATGAGAGCCTAGCTGGGTCGATCTTATATGCATAAAGTGGGAAGTCAGATTGAATTCCTATAAAGAAATTATCTGTAGAATTATTTTAAATTTGCTCGAGTCGGACACAAGAAAGTTTTGTTCGGATTATAAATAAAAAATAATACCGCCAAATAAGAAAACAAAATATGTAATATTAATTAAAAATGATTTTAGCTTTAAATTAATCTTAAAAAGTGTATTATTTCAAGTAATTCAAAATCATAATAATAATAACTAATAGAAACGGTTTTTTGTACACCGTCTAAATTAATAAAAAAATAACTCGCGATTATTATAATGGGTACCACACAATACTGGTGTATACTGTACATAGAAATACTACAACAGTAATACAAGTACCCTCATCAATTTGTACAACTTTTAATTTTGTTTTATGTAATACGCCTATTATTTAAAGTAAGAAAATCTCATACCACTACAATGTTGAAGAAATTTAAGCTTATTTGAAAAAGTTCCAACATTTATATTTTATAATTTTTATTTAAAAAAAAAAAAATGTCAAATGACATTACTTAAATGAAATAAAAAAATGATTGTATGAAAATAATAATTTCTTTAACAATGCCTATTGCTCATGACTGATTTCAGCAGAGTATTATTGCTATTCATTTTTTTTTTAATTTAGCTCAAACCCGAATATATTTTCAAAGAGGGCTTGTGTTTTTTAGAACGGAAAAATATGTTAAACGATATTTTTGAATTCTACAGGCGTTGGTTTTACTTACATCGAATATTCTTTGTGGGAGATTACATTTAAATACCCGTGGGAATGTATTTAAATTGGAATTTTAAGTTTTTACTCTTTGAATTTGCACGTTTTTGATTTTGCGGTTTTAAAACTTTTCTTTGGGACATGCAAGTATAAGTTATTATTATTCTAGTCGTTTTCGCCAAGACTTTGTGAAAATAACTAAACAATTGGCTTGTAAGTTATATTCCATTTACATGCTTTAAAAGCTTTCTCCGAGTTCAGTATGTTTTACAAATTTGAAATACATCGACGATAATTCTATATTAATGTTAGGTTGAGTGAAACTTTTCAAGTGATCTCTAGGACAAAACTGTCAATCTTTTAAACTGCACAATGTATTATAGATGTAAGTGTATATTATAATATAAACAAATATTCTGATAAAATGGTGTGGAAGACTCAATGTTAAAGGTACACATTGGAAGAAAGTTTTAAAGTTTGTTTTTAAACAATGATTAAACGATAAAAATATATGGTTGTTTTCGATATGCTGTTATCGAGGAAAAATTATTTTTTATTATGGATTTAACTTTTATTTTTATCCTTATTATTAGATTTAAAAATGCTATTTGGCGAGTGAATACCTTTTTTTTTGGTCCATTTAATAACGGGATAATAGAAATAAATGGAAATAAACGAATTATTGATACTATTAGGTATTTTTATTTAGAATCCGTTTTAGGTTTAAAACCCTTACGTTTTCTTCAATTGTAAAAAGAAATCGGTTTTACCGTTAAGTGCACTTCAATAATACTTCTTTTTTTTTTTACTTGCTTTAGTACACGTATTAACTTTAGTTTGAAGAAATAACAATACACATTTAAACTGTTTTTTGGAATAAAATCGCTGAATCTTTTTAATCTAACGTTACAGCGTGTAACGGTTACCCCAAAGAAATATTAAATACATCATTTTGCTGTGCACATATTCTATTGTACTGCCACAGAACATATTATAATATGTTGTAAAAGGTATCCGAGACATTAAATCAAGTACAAAGTGGGTAAATTCACCGACATTTGGTATATTTACATTTTACACTCGAAACTGAATTGTTCCGAGAAATCCATTGTGTATGTGCGGCTGCTGAATATAATTGCTATTGCTTTTTTTATATTCTTTATCAGTGTGTAACAATTTAAGTTTCTGTGTGTTGATAATTGTTGTATATGGGCGTGAACTAACATAATTTAAGGGGGTTAGAGAGGGGGGAGGGCATTATATTTTTTCTATATTTGATAAATTTGTTAATAAGTACTACATATTGATGTTTTTAAATTCACTGATTTCGAACTTGTTATCAATTTTAAAAAGGTTAGAAGAGATTAGTGGGATATTTTTTTTAGTTTTTAGAATTTCATACGTTAGAGTATTGATTAAAAAAAATTTGGGGTCGGTGAAATCATAACTGTTAAACTTTTTTAAATCAACACCTTTTTTTAGGGAGCCGGGGGCAGTTTAAATGAGTTTTATCAAATTGCTGCTAACAAGCATTGCTGTGCCTTTATTTGGAAGCAATAACAATTTTAAAGTTTATAATTTTGTATAAAAATAATTTTTAGAGGTCCTTAAAAAATAATCAACTTCTAAGAATAATCGCTCTTTGGCTGAACGCGAACAACGGTGGGGAAATTATAGACCTTTAAGGTTTCTCAAACGAATTCCTTGAAAATCGAAGTCGGAGGATTTCTCTTGAAGATGTTGGATTTATGTATAATAATAACGAATAAATGAAAATATATTTTTTAAGTACATAAAATCCGTACCGATGCAATAAATGACACTGGAAACTTTTGGCGAACACCTGTCAGAGAGCACCTGTCAACGTTTTTCAGCGAAACGCTATAAGTTGTCATTTTAGAATTTCGAAGATTCGTGGAAGGAAAGAGAGAGAGAGAGAGTGAGGGAGAAGGATCGGCTAAAGACAAATTGACGTGTGAAAGAGACGCTGCCGGTTTTGGACTTAGCGTCGCAGTAAAACAATTTAATACCGCACACGGTACCAACGAATTTCAATTATTCGAGAATTCGACCAACCCAACCCTTTCGGATGCTAAAACCCGGGCTGGACATAGGGATTTCTGGCCAAACGACGGACTACTTGAATTTAATTACAACTTAACGAACACCCCTGCCGTCTCTCCGTCCATGTCAGCCGCCGCTTTTCACACGCAACACTTATGATTCGGCCACTTTGAAACCATTTGAAAATTATACATTCTTTCCGTCTTAAACGACCCCCAACAGGTGGATATTACTGGGTTACTGCCGAGTTAATTTTTCCCTGGGCGCTCGTCTCGACCTTTGCATTTTTTTACACTCAATGATGATCTATTCGCTTCATAACAACGACTATTGTAAGCGCCATAATCCATCAACGCATCTGTACACGGCGGATTCGTTTGCATTGAAATAAGGAAAAGGAAACAGTCGATAGAGTCTACGGCGAAAAATAGTCCAATGTAAATATCTCAATAAAAACGCACGACGATTCGGATATAGCACACCATAACATTGAGTACTGCAGTCTTGTTGTAAGAAATAAATTTAACAATACCAATCATAACCGTTGTATTAAAGATGGACTTTGAAAATATCAATTTACAAAATCACGATTAATGCTACGGTTTAAAGGCTAGAAAAAAATGTATTATTATCAACAAATTTCGTAATAGTAATAAAGTGCAAACAAAGTTTGCTTAAACAAATTAATAAAAAAAAAAAATCGCAGTTTTCGACTTTCTGTACAGTTTTTTATTCAGTTTTGATTTTTTAATCACCTTCTAGCAAATATTTTTATTTAGATACATTTCTACAAATTGTATACACATTTTATTTCAAAATGTATTTTGCTTTGCATTTTTTCAAAATGTTATTTTAAACAAGTTCTGTATTTTGTTTAAAACTGTAAGTTCCCAGTATTAAAGACGACTTAAATATACAATTTTAAAATAAATAGGAAAATATAAAAAATGACAATGAATAACTAATATATTTTTTCAGAACCTTCAATAGGTGTTTTTAGAAGAATTAAGTTGTCTATTTCTAATAATAACTAATTTTAACAAATACTGTAGTTTTTTCTATCGGCTTATAATTAGTATAATTCTATAAACTATTTATTGTAATTTGTATCTATGGATTTATGCAATAGTAAAAAAAAATTCATTTTAAAGTTTATGTTTTATGCAATAACGTAATAACTGTAAGGTGGGACTAGAAAATTAAAGACATTTTATATTGCATAACATTTTTTTTTGTGTATACTAATTTAAATAAAAAAGTGAAAAAAGGTTTTTTTGATTAGTGCATTTATATTTTATACCAGACATTAAAACTGTTATTTAAAACAACGAAATTTTTGGACGTCATATCTTAAGTACATTCTTAAACTGTTCGAATTAAAAATCGATTAAAAGGGCAACATCAAAAAAGAGTTTTACCAAAAAAAAAAAAAAAATAATAATAATAATAATACAAAAAAATATGCAAAGACAAAAGAGAATTTACACAAAAAAGTATTTATAGGGACAAAAGAGATCTTTTTGTGTAGTGGGAAAAAAAGTATTCACTAATGGAGAAGGTTCTTTCATTTTAATAATCATTTGCTGTCGAACACGCTTGTGGGATCTTTAGTAAAGAAACATTAAAGATGCAGTATTGTTGCTATTGTCTTTTTTAGTAAACATTTTTTCGTTAAAAAAATGCGCGACGAGGTATAATTTATATTTTCTTGCATCCATAATATTTGGAAGTAAAGGAAAGAGGGTAGTTACCGTTGACACGCCTGTCATTCAAGAGTTCAACGAACTTTATTCAAATCGCCAAAAGTGGAAAATCACAAAAAAAAAGGATAATATAATTAAAAATATGTATATTCTCTAATCTCTAAGTACAAAATATGAATACATTACTCTTTAGGCATGCATGTTCTGATTGATTTTTTGTCAACCAACCATATTAGGAATATTTTATCAAATAGGATGAAAACGAATTATAGAAATTGAAAAATAAGAAACATGAATATTCAATAAAAATTCAGTGTGTATCTACTGGAGCGTAAAAACGTATATATTATAGGAAAAAGCATTAACATGGGATTTACTATAATTACATTATACCCGCTTGGGTTATACTTTTGAGTTCTTTGGATATTTTTTTTAAATCTATTATTTATAGTATATAAATTGTATCCGGTTATGTACCTCTAAGTGACTGTACATTTAGTACAATATAGTATTAGATAATTATTTTCCATAAATCACATTGTCTATGGTTACCCGTCTATGGTTACTATATGGTAACTTTGAATTGTTAGTGTTTTTTTTATCTGAAAATCAATTTTATTATTATACAGCTAATTAGCCAACAATTAATATGAGCACACAACGCTTATACTACTGTGGTAGTACACTTAATGTTACAGTTTTTTATTGCTTATAACATAAGGAATAGGGATCATAGTTATTAAATTGCTAAACTTTTTAAAATATTATTACAATAAAACTCTAAAAGTCAATTTGATTATGGATATAGGGTATCGTTGAAACAGAAATGTATAATGCATTTGGTTTGTGAAATAGAAACATCTTACTGTTTATAGACCTTATACGGACTTTAATAAAATCTAGATGACACAAAGTACTGACCAAGAAAATAAAAGTCAAACGCAAGAGCAGTTGTGTTTAGTTTTTATTTTAGAAACGTCGATGATTATTTTTGTTCCATTTTTTCCTACTCGTATAAAATCTATAGATTTTAGACAGAAGTTTTAGGAGCTTAGTGACCTTTTATTTTCCGTTGTAAACGGGATTATTTCATAATAGCAAATAAAAACAAAAAAGTAATTATTAAAAACAATTTATAATTTAGAAGTTATTGCAATAGAAGACGTTCGAATCAGACTTAAAGACAGATAATTGATCATTGCAATAATAAAATTATTGAGATTACTGATTAGGGAATAAAAATATTACTAAGTTTGTTATACAATCAGATATTGCCTACTTAGATGGTATTAAGTAGGTTATTAGTACCTAGTTATTGCTTGTTATTTGTATTGGTTGATCAATATTCGAATAAAGACATAAGATTTCAAAAAGAATACCAATTTTAAGTATATCTATTTTGGTTTGAAAATATTAAAAAGGCAACTCATCAATGTTCAGTAGATTATTTTCAAATAAAAAGTCATAGTTTCGCATCGAAGCGTTTACTTAAAAGTTATTTCATCACTTTTAGATATCATAATTATTCCTAAAGTCATCCCCGTCTCTACTATGACCAGACTCAACTGTCCTGGTTTTTTTTTACAATAATTAAAAATACAGCAGAAGAAATATTTACGATTTTTTATCGTATACAAATGTTTTAATTTTAAAAAATAAATATGTAAATATATTTTTTTTAATTACAGAATTTGTACGCATTTATTCCTATAATTGTTTGACGTAGTACAGGCTGTACCATATATACCTATATATTTTTTTATGTACAGTACACACTTACACGACGGTATATATTTATTTTAGTGAATATAGAATTGAATTTATTTCCCGACAAATAATAAATATTGAAAGAAGGAAAATACTGTTGGATTCTGTGATGATGACAACCGTTTGAAATGCAAATTTTGCGCAAATACGATCAGGGCCTCGTCTGTGTGCACGTTAAAAACCATACCCGCTCCTCCGCCGTGGATTTGATTGTCACGAAAATTCTACTTTTGCTGTCAGGCAACAGCGTGGTATTCTTTTGTACTCCCCGACAACTACCGGGGTCCAAAAAATATATTTTAAAAATAGAATATCAGAAGGAAATTGATTTTGTTCGAATGTTTCGCTCGCAATATGCCCACAACCGGAACGCCTTATTACTTATATTTAAAAACAATAAAATAGTAGTAATAATAATAATGTCCTCCGATCGTTTGCCTAATAGAAGACAACGTTGGCGTGTTATTATTTGTTTACAACAATATTTTATTTTATTGTTTCAGGGCTTCTACGACTGCAACAACTTTACGAGGCTCTGGACTTAAGACCGGACAGCCTAAAAGTGGAAATGGTAAAACGCGTTCAAAACGTTTCTGACGCAATGAACTTTGTGCATCAAATCGAACGAGCCGACAGGTAATATCATTTATTTTGTCTTACCATAATTTAGATATTAACAAAATATCATAATCGTTATATAGTGTAAATCATAACCTGAATAATAATCCTAAAGATATTTTAGTTACAGATAGTACAAATTGTGTATTAGTATTATATATGTAGTATAAAACTAATTAGATAAATTATTAAATAATTAACGAGATATCAACTTAACGATTTGGATTTAATTTTAACAATGGTCTTGTGATATATATCATGTGCATGGGTCTTTGCGATAACAATTATTAATAATAAGAAATTGTTTAGAAAGACACATATAAAATATAATAAACAGAGATTTAAGTAATAACACTAAATAATTTCTTATTAGCTTTTTGTATACTGTACAAGTATTATATAACTGTTGTAGGAATTTAAGTACAAATAATACACTGAAATCTCAATATGAGAAATGTTATAACATTTGCAATAAACACGTTTTCCTCATTAAATTGTTTATATACTTATATGAGTAATGGTCAATGATACGTTTGGATGAAATTATAAATACAATTTCCATTTAAAATTACTTATTTTGTTCATATTTTGTAATTTTCATTAAAAAAAAAAACACTTTTAATTTTAAGAAACGTTTATTATTATTATAATGCGTTTAAAACATTCTATAAGCGAGTAGGAAAACTAATAACTATGTTGTTTTAAAGTGTTTGTTAGAATTTGAATTTAAGAAACTTCAAAAATTTAAATATCAATTTGAAATTTCCATTCGAACAAAATAATAAAACATAATTACTAGTACCGAGAATAAATGTCTTAATAGTTAGAAACAAATTGTATTCGTATTAAATCAAAGCGTTTCCGTTGCATTAGAAAAACATATAAAATACAATTAAAAACAACGAGATCTGAGAATTTTTAAATGTTTTACATTTTCACTTCCTGTAGTTTTCTAAGTTGTTGAAAATCAACACTAAAACGCTAATCAAGATAAGACGTTCTTTTATATATTATTATTAAAGTTATTCTGGAGGTGGACTGTAATTGATATATCTGCATATAAATAACTATATATATATATATTAAAAATATTTATATATATAAATATATGTAGGTAAAACATTTATGCATTACTATCTGGAACATGGCAACTATCCGATCTAGATCGCTTTCCGGTGTATTTGTTTTCCAATGAACGACTTCAAAGCGTTCACTCCAATACTCGTCCAAATGAAACAGAAAAGTGTGCAAAAAAATTACTTTTTTTTATTATTTTAAATACAAAAGCAAACCTTATATGCGTGTATCTGGTCGATTTAACACGCTGCCTACCGGTGTATTGGTTTCTCAGCAATTTTTTCTCTTTTATCCTCCAGTTCCACCCTCTGACCCATTTCATCGTTCAAGTGTGTAACGTGCTTTGCATGTAATCTATATGTACACTTGAATATAGGTATAATATGGGTTTACGTATATGTATTACGTTTTAATAGATTTTGTTCTTCCAAAACCACTTAGACAACTTTCGGTGTGAGTTTTTGTTCCATAAAACACCCAAGTAGTAACACATAGTTCATATACTGAACGGTGGATGTATTATTTTTGTCTAAGTAGCAAGAAATCGGCCATTAGTCAAGGGTTTGACTTTAAAACGAGTATTTCTAATTTAACAAATCTCGCTTTTTCCTTAAACTATGGTTTTTAATTTATTTTACAATGTTTATTTCAGATGGGGCAAAAAAAGAATTATACTCGATTGCCCAACGCAACTTGCAAAACAAATAGTCGTATCACACGTGAAGGATATTCAGCTGGGAAAAAGAACTTATCATTATTTGCTAAGCGGATTGGTAAGTTTAAGCAGAATTCAATAGCTATGTTTACTCAGAAATATTTATACTAAAAAGTAATATCATATTAAGCGTAGGATGATACTGCATAATATATTAGAAGAGCTTTTCGATGATGTACACTAAAATATATAAAATATAACTAATTAAATCTGCACGTTAGATGATTCAGAATCAACCGACTTTCTATAGAAAAGAAATGTATTAAAAACAATATAAGTATTTATTTAGTTCAAACAAAATTCCATGAATGGAACATTTTTGGAATAACTCATTAAATATCCAATAAAAATAACGTGGAACTCATTTTGTTGTTTTTATAATAATAATTAGTGTTTAATATATTTATTAAACTGTTATTAGGAAATACAAAATGACATCATACATAATTTGTAGCATATTAGTTGATAGTAATTATAGGTTGTATCATTTGTAAATGGGTTTAACTATTTCAGTCGCTCTGTAATAATAGTTAAAATAACACAGATTTGAACTAGGAAAATAATAATTAATCAACCGTAAAGTTATAATATATAACTATCTGCAAAACGAGCATAGAGCTACGAAATTCCATAAACTATCAGCTGTAGGATGTTTATTAAAATATATTAATGGTTATTATAATGTGGTGAACTTGGCAAACAATATAACATTGTTGAAAACTAACGGACACGAATTCATTGCTTTCGGCTAAAAATTAATTTCATCATTGTTGCCGAAACGGTATCATGCTCTATCTCTCAAGCTCATCTTTTGATACATAAAATTGCATCTGATTAATTACTAGGTATTCTTGGAGTTGGTGGTATCATACAAGAAAGGGCGAGGGTTAGATTAATTGGCCTCACCATATTCGAACGTGTTTACATAAGTTTGTGTCTGACGCAGTGAACAGCTCTTAGATCAAAGTTGCTAAATGAAAAAAAATATTACAGACTACCGAGAGGAAAATAAAAAAAAATGTTTAATGTATATTTTTAATAAAAAGTTATGAGTACTAGAAGGTAAATATTGTAAAATATATGTTTTTAATTTTAAATATGATATTAAAAAGCTCGAACTCGTAACAATTACTTTAGAGAATACTTCGCCAAGTTATTCTTTTTTTAGCGTTTTTGTTTAACAATTTTTGAACTTACAAACAGGCAATGCTTATATTTATTTTCGATAAATTGGTTGTATATATATATTTTTTTCTTTGCTCGCTCTATTGTCGTTAAATAGAGAATGTTTGTTTTTAAAGCCCATTAAATATAATAAAGTTTATGAAAGCCTAATTGTACAGCGAAAATACACAGAAAACATTGTTGACAATGTATATAATATTTTGACCAAAATTAAAATTGTACGTCACGCGATTATAATTCATTTGATATTAAGCAGGCAAAGCCATAGTCTACTATACTTATTCTTAATAGTATATAAACCTACTATATTTTATATTTTTCCCCACTATTAGTATGTATATACAATTCGACAGTATAGCTTTAACACAGCTCTGATTCAATCACGTAGAAAGAATGTCTGTATTAACGAAAATCGTCAATGATCATTTTCAGATTATGGACGACCATTGGGAAACCGAAGTAGTCGAGTACGGGGCTATCAACATAACTGGATTTAGAGTGTTGGACGTTAACCAGCGAGCAGTTAAACACTTTCTGTCGGAATGGAAAAAACTCGATCCCAGCGCTTCACTGGGAGCAGGAAAAGATACGATTTCTGTAAGTATAAATATTTGTAAATACTCACCGCTTTGTTTACCCTATTCATTTATTTACACACCGGTGTAAAATATTAGCTGAGATCAAAAACGAATAGAAATCAGTGTTTATATTGTGTGGATCAGTTGTATTGTATTTTTTGGTATTTTTAATGAAGAAGTAGGTAGGCATGACATATTTTTAAAGGAGACAACAGGGCAGCTCTCCGAGAGCTTAGCAACACCTGTTGGTTTCATAATGTACCGAAAGGCGAAGTTGGCGGATGATATAAATAGAGAATTGAACGGCGTTAACGTCGAAGAAAGTACAGAAGAGTCGTTGGCCCGACTCTCGTGGGAAAAGTCTAAAAGTATGGAAAAAAGCGCGAATCGCAAAATTTGATTAAAGCGTGCGACGTTGATAGCCGTCCTAAACACAATATATTATATTTTTGTTAGGGGTGGCAACCCTCGCCGAGTGCGTTTTTTTTACTACATTCATTGGAATCAAACAGAGCGTGCAACGGCGATGACTTGTTTTGACGATGTAATATGACAGTCAGTCACCACAAGCAGGTTAATTTACAGTAACATAAACATCTATTTATATTTATATATTTTATACCTATGTATATGATTAGAAAAACTTTTCCAAATCCATCACGCCGCGTTCGTGAATCGTGGAAACGGTGACAGCTTTATTAAAAAGTTTTCGCCCGATAATCACAGCTATGGGTCCAGTGTAGAATATCGGTGAAAATATTGCATTCGTCATCGTCATAAACCGTCCGTCATTATTTGAAAACCGTACAAAAGAAACGAACGTTGGAAATTTCGAAGCTTCCGTTGAAATGCAATTTGATGCAAATTAAAGCCACGTCGCAGAATGGTTTCACTCGAATAAAAGATGTTCATTGCGCGATATTATATTTTATCTACCATGAAGAAGACAACTTACAAGAATAATGTTATTACTATCACAACCCTGTTAAAATCGTGCTTGCGGCAAAAGAGGAGGGATTAAGGGGAAATCAGCTGATAAGAAATAAGGTGGCCATGCAAATTTCAGAAGCATTTTGGAAGTATTATTTCTCCTATAATTTTGACTTTTAGCGTTACATATATTTTTTCGTTGTCGCAGAGATAATTTAAATATTATCGTCGGCTCATCCGTTTATACTTTATACGGATGAAATTTCATTTAAATCCGACATTAATATTTTGGTTTTTTTTTGTATTTTTATTTGAACGCGAATCATTACAAAAATGTAATGTCGGTTAAAAGTCATAGGATCTAAATATTAATATCTTCAAGACTGTCATATTGTATTGTGGCATGTTATTATTTTTTCTGGAACCGTATTACGTTTCATATATTATAATAATATTATGTACATATATGATATAAATATATATATATTTATGTATGAGAAAACATCAGAGCGTTTTTGATCTCAATACCGTATCTATGTGCGCAAAATAAACATAAAGTAAATGAGAAATGGTCTTTTCGAGTATTTGTGAATAGAAATGTATACGGACACGTTTAATCATTAGGAAAGACATTTTTAATAAAAAAAAAAAATCCCTCATTACATTACCGCATCACATTAAATCCATTTTATATTTTCCACACGTCGATATATTATAATGGTGATTTTCATTTATCACTGTCTAAAAAAGCCTATTATATTTAAGCACATTAAGATATTGCTGCAGTAAATTTTGAAGTAGATTTCGAGTGCATGGGTCGTAAACATTAACGTTTTCGTTGAAAAAAAAAAATAATAATAACTTATCGGGCATTTGATATTTTTTATTGCGTACTTAAAAAAAAAATCGTTAACCAATAGCTATGGGCTCTGCTTCGACCGTTTAGGAATTTGCTCACTTGCGCTAGAAATGCACTTCTCGTCGGTTCATTATAAAATGTCAATTAAATTATTAAAACAAAAAAAAAACTGCACAACCTTTACGTATAAATATAAACTAACCGTGTAAAAATGTTGGTTATAAAATAATATTGAAAGATAGAAAATAAAAAATAAATAATTCGCAAAAATAGTACTCGCATCGAAGAAGTGTACTTGAGAGAATAAATATTTGAAATATGATGATATGATATGTTTTTAGTTCATTCAAAAAAGCTTACTACGGCATTACGCACAATAAGTGTTTTAATAAAAACCCATGTACTTACCTACATTTCTCTTTGTCGCATTCAACGTACACTTTTGTTTGTTTAAGGGATACTTTTCAGATTTTTTCATAATTTATTATAATATTAACCCTTCAGTGTAGCAGAAATGCAGACATGTTTATTAAATACATTTTTTTTTGTTTGTTAAAGAATATGGATTTAATTTCGGTGGCGACCCGTAGGCTGGTGGAAATTACTATCTACCAGTTAAATGTAGTTTTCTTGTAGATATACCCTGTTGTTACCAAATTCCTGATAATATTTTAACCTATATGAAAAAAAATTGTACACTATACAATTTTAAAAATTCGCCGTTGAAGGGTTCTATCGGAAATAATTTATTATAATTATAATAATTTTTTAAGTGACTCCTGTTGGAATACCCTTCTCTACCCCACCCCCCCCCCCCAATTTTTTTGTTGTGCCCGCCGCGCCGTTGTCCATTGACAGTGCGGTAGACGGACGGCTTTTCTTATTCTTCTCCTCGCGCTCGTCCGAGCCGCGACCTTGGTTGATGAATTAGTGCAGGGCGCGGGTGTGGTTGTGTTTCAATGTGCCGCGGCTTCTGCATTATTGAACGTAGCTTTCCCCCAATCCCCCCCCCCCCCCCCCGCCGCCGTACTCTCAGTCCACCAGGCTCACCCCGTCCGGCCCACCACGACCAATGCACACAGTACACACGCCGCCGCCGCCTACTCGCGATTCATCTCTCCTCAATCGAGCGTCGCACGAAAATGTTCCGCTATCAATCATGAGCCAAAGCCCCACTGACAAACATGGCCGCTCAACCGTTTCATCCTCGAACAACAACAAATCAATCACACTCAAAAATACTCTCCATGCTCTCCGCTCACCTTTGCCCCTACACTCCCGGTCGTGCCAACCCCGTTGCACATATGTACATATGTACGTGTATAATAAAGATATTATATACATACACATATATATATATATATATTCTTTTTTTTTTTTTTTGTTTTGTTCGCGACGACCTATACGGACGGGTAAAGGTCTCGGGTTAATTTTTTGCCCATTTGTCATGATCCGCGCGTCGGAGTGTCGTCGGCTGACGTATTGCCCGCGCTTACCACGCACGTATATATATATATACATATGTATACGACCAAACACAGTGCGTCTTTGACGTGACGAATTATTTTTCCCCCCTTAGCGATACAATATAATAATTAATCTCGAATCGACGACTCGAGATTGGGTTTTTTTCACCGGGAATTATTGTTTGTTTGTGTGTTCGTAACAGGCGCACGCCGCTCTGATGCACGACGCCGTCCTGGTGCTGGTGGAGACGTTCAACAAGCTGCTGTGGAAGAAACCGGACACGTTCAAGTCGACCACCAAGCGGACTCTGGTCAACGGCAACTCGTCCAGCATTTCGTCGTCTCAGATTTCTGGGCCGGACTGCAATGCTGGCCACGGTTGGGTCAACGGTTGGGAGCACGGAGACAAGATATCCCGGTACTTGAGAAAGGTAAAGAATACAATGACAACTAACTACTATAGTGGCAACAACAAAAGCTGTCCTTTTTTTTACAAACATTTTTTGCTGGATTCGAATTTGATGATTCTTAGACCAGATTGAGATTCGGTGAAATTATTCTATAAAATGTATATAATATTATGGACATAGTTTCAAATAAAAAAAAATCAAATATTTCCGAATCAGTGTTATTCAGTTATTGGTGGCATGCAAGGCATTTGAATATAACAAGGCCGAATGCGACGTATGGAATAGACATTTAATTGAAAATGATAAACCTGGAATCGACATTATTTGGAAACGTATGTATTGTTTTCAACTGTAAATACCGGAATTGACTTTACATATTATTGATAATATGACAGTGGGATATAAATGCAGGTCAGCGAGTTTTAAGCATACGCTACGGTCAAAGTTGTCCATTATTTGAATTATAACATAATCGTAGGTGTTTTAGCTATGCTTATAGGAAGAAAACCTTATTTTGGAGTTGTGAGTTTCGAGGAATTTTAAATGTAATATAGTATCAACAACACTCGCTATGAAAACTCCAGATTAACCAGAAACACAGTTTTTTACTTATAATATGCTCCTATTTGTGATTTTAAAATCTGTTTCTGAGTCGTTGAGTATAAGAGATTCGTTTAGGATCCAAAGGCTTGGAAAATATCGAAGGCGGGGGGGGGGATTAATATTTGTCTTAAAACGTTCCATTTCTATATCTACCCAACTGAAAAGTGTTTAGTTGTTCATAGAACAGCTGTTCAAATATTTAGTCATCTCAAAGAATCCGGATAGAGTTCCGGGCAAAATATTACTAGCTAAAGAAAAATGTACAAAATGAATTATATTTTCCAAAATATGGTTAGGTTTCAATTTAAAAAACATATTTAGTATTGAAAAACAATTTTTATTTAGACTTTATTCTTATTATTTCTTTGATATACCTAGTTAATTTTAATTCGTAAACTAAAGTTTATACAATAGATGAAAATAAGCTTTAAAAATAAATTAAATATTTAATTATATAAATAAAAAGTCGCTGGAGATGAAAACTCTTTACTGCGTTCGTCCCATAATACTAATATGATACTATGATCTTGGGTATTACAAAATAATGATCCCTTTTAAGCTTTGGCATTATCTAAAGTACTGTTATTCAATCTATTGCAACATGAATAAATATAACCTTAATCGTTGGTATACTAGTCGGGTCATAGGTGGCGTTTTACATAAAAGATAGTGAAAAATTAATTTTAAAAAAATAGTTATTATTTTAATATTATTCAAACTCGTTTTCCCCGTGTCTATATAAAACAGTTTAAAAAGTAATATACTTACCCGGAGTAAAGAAAAACGTGTGCTACTCAAATAGTAATTTACCGGTTTGGTAATTTTGAACTGTACACACATTATAATATAAATACATATTATGTTAAATAACGCTTCTTGGCTCTGCAAACACACCTGTAAAGTTTTATAATATATACCGCGGTTGTATTAAGAGACAAAATACAGGCAATGTTTAACATAAAAATTGTCATGATAAATTTCGACCACGTCAACTAACTACAGGTCAGTCTTTGTTAGCTCTAAGTGACGGATTTTGATAATATTATAGATACGGTTATTTTTTAATTATTCTCTATTTTGATTTTTGTACCGCAGTTTTTGCCACTCGTTTAAATCTGTTTTTAATGTAATTTATTTCCAATACTTTGTCATAAGTATTTTATAGAAAAAATAATACTGTGATTTTTATGTCATATCTTACTTTATGAAATTAGGGATAAGGATACAAATATATACGAAATGCATTTTATTTTTAGACTTTTTTTTTGTTTTCTGTTCAAGAGAAAGTCTTGTTTGCCAAATATAATGATTTTCGGATGTTCAGGTTTTCCCTTAGGAGGATGCCGAACCGGACGCTTCGTGGACAAATCCCTACACAAAATGTCCTCCGTCTTATATTTAAAATAATGAACCTGTAGATTGAATCGAATAAGAAAATATTAAGGTCAGCGTGAAAAACGAAAAACAAAACACAATTGTAACATGCTTGGTGACCTTATCAAATTATAACACACAGAAAAACTATCAAATATGTAGGTCTTTGGAAGTAGTAAAGCCATAGAGTTTTACTGATTACTTGATCTAATGCATAGTTTTGTTATACTATTGTAAACCTATTCAAGCTAAAAAAAAAACCACCTACGATTAACTATTATTTGTGTTGGAAATAACACTGTGTGTAGGAATGACAATATCGGTTAAAATAACAATGCATAGACTTTTCGATGTATCAAACTCAGATTTTGTATTATCAGACAATATATTTTAGTATCTATAAATTCCCATAACATATTGATAGAGCGCAAAAAATATCATTTTTTTACATTTCCCTATTATTTTCTACTTAATCGTTCATTAATGTAACGATAATATACTATATAAAGTTTTAATAAAGGTAAGTTTTATAAAGTCTTAATAAGGGTTAAAGTAACTTTGTTAAGGCTGGTATTTATTCAGATGAAATCATATTTGAATTTGTTTCATCGATATAGTATGTAATGTACATAGTGTAATTATTGTGTGTATAATATTAATCACTCACAAGTCATATATTATTAGACGAGCACAAGATGGATTGCATACTATTATCTTAAGTGGTTATTTATAAAATAGCGACGGTATATTGGAAATTTAAGTAATGACTTTGGAAAGTGAAGACGATGTTAAAATATTTTAGTGGCAATATAGTCAATAGTCTTATTAAAATAAAGCTCGAATTTTTGCTAGGTAACGCATAGGGTTTTTCGGTTCAAGGCTTAAAATATGTACTTGACTTTTTAACCATTAATCATTTTCCAAAGTATATTATTATTCCAATAAACGTCAAACAACAGTTAACAAACAAAAACTCATTTTACTTAAAACAGAATATTTTCACGAAGCGGTACGCTTTTACATTTTGCTCGAGAAATAAAAAATGTTTATCGAGTGTGTAAGCTAAGGTTAAGGATGTAGAAAAAAAAACATCCAACCAATCCGGCCATCGGTATACCATCAATAAGTTCTAAAGTACAAATTCCAATTGCAATTTTCTCAACAGAATTGTTTTTCTGAATTGTATACACATATGTTGGCAGAGAATAATATTGACAGACGTTATTTATGCGGTAACTAATTTAATTATTTTTTTTTTTATAATCAACGTATCTACTTGTTTAGTTGTTACATGGTACACGTATCAAATATCAATATTGACATTTAATACTTTCAAATGTGTCAATGAATTATTGTCGATACTCGATACATATTTTGATCAAAGTATACCCCGTTGATACATTTCCCCCAACTCTGGTAGACGGTGTAAAATAACAGACAGGTATTCGCAGACTACAGACACGGCCAAAGTTAATTATCGATAACGCTGCTAAAATATAATACAATAAAGAATATTATAGTAGACACAAAGAGTACTCGGCCATCCCTATTGGGCAGAGCACTCTGCGAGTGCAGCGTTAAAACTTAATTACGACATTTTTCTCTCGTTCATTTTTTCCTCCCCCTGGTTTCGGCGTCTTGTCCCTTGTATATTTCTTTGTCCGTTTTTCTTTGGCAGACACAGACATAATACAATATATATATATATATATGAGTTGGTTTTACCCAAAGTGGTATAAATGGGCTCGGACGTCCCGTCGCGTTAATAACGGGCCGCGACATAATCCCGCCTTTTTTCACTTCTCGCTTCCTGTTGCCATCAATCCTCGCTTGCTGCCGCACCTAGCCGCGTTTTGACTATATTTTTCGGCCGGCGTTTTTAATTTCATTCTCTAAGTGAAATTAGTGAGCTCCGCGGAGGTCGAGATTCTTACCTATTGCGCGGCCTAAGCCCGGGGCCGGCCGCACACGTTCAATCTTCATTTCCACGGCGAAGACGCCGCACCACTTACCGCGGCCAGGGCGGGGCCGAAGGATTTCGCGGCGGGTTGTTGTCGTCTCGACGCTCAGTGCATCTGTCTTTGTCACCTTTTATTATCTTCCACGTGCCACAGCCAGCGCCCGGCCTTTCGGGTAAACAAAAAAAAAACACCACGCTCACCCTCTCTAATAAGACTTAACGCGCAGTGTATCATAGCAATATGTAGCCCGGGCTTACGACACGGGTAATAAACGACGTCACATTATCCCGGCCATACGGTCCTAGACGTTTTGACGACGGACTTGCGAATAAATCTGTCGCGGCAACCGAGTTCTTACATTCCAAAAAGGTTACCAAAGTTATATTACTAACTACCTACGACAATATTACGTCCTTAGCGGCGCGTCCAGTTAGTGCGACGTTTACAATTTGTTTTTTTGTCTGGCCCTGGGTCCGAATTAATGTAGCCGGCCATCTCTTCCCTCTCCTCGCCGTGGTGTTGTTTCTAATTATATTTCAACGGCTTTCGTTTTGTAAAGGAGAACATTTTTATAAGAAAACGTGTTTACGTCGAGATTGTTGAGTGGAGAATTCGTTCGCTGTGCTTAATTTCACATCGTCATTTCTGCTTACATGCTAATAATAATGGCTAATGAATTTTCAATCTATTTCTTTCTTGATACTAGATCTTAAGTACGATTTTTAAGGCGAAGAAGAAAAGTACAGTAGACCAATAATTGGTAACATGTGTACAGAGAAGGATACTTGGAACCACGACAGTATAAGAATAAATTTCGAAAAAAGAATTTTCTTTTTGAAAACAGACATTTCTTGAATAGTTCCCTTTTTTATGTTCACATACAAGTCCATCTGGAATTATAAAAAAAGTATTCCACTTAAAATTTTTATTTTGAATAGTATCTTTTGACGGATCTTTATCATAAAATTGATTTTTGGGACGGCTTTTTGTTTCGAAATGTTAAATTACACATTTTTTAATAGCTTGAAGTTTATACATTATTTATACATTAATATTTGTTGATATTATCAACGAATAATGTTTATGGCTATAATGTATTTTAATCAAATTTACAAGTGAAAAAAATCATGAAAATTATTCAATTATTGAATATTTAAGTTTAAAAGCTCATTTCTATGCAGGTAGTTGTATAATTCTTAGAAAAATATCGCTACCCGGGGCAATAAGTTTGTCCCTTTCGGACTCCCATAAATGTGGCCCCGAATGTCTTACACATAAACTAGACGGAATATTATTGATTTCGCTAAAAGCCGAAGAAATACGAGTACACTGTCAAAAGAGGCTCGTGGGAGGGGGTGGGGTTTGTAAGTATGAAAACATTGTCGAAGGGTAGCGGGTTTGTGAAAAATATGCATACGCGGTATTAGGTCAGTATACAACTCTAAAAAAAACCTGCACATTAGGAGGGTCGGTGAGTAGTGGGCATGAAACATATTGGGGTCGGAGAGATCACAAGACCATAGAAGTTATCATAACTCAAAGTGATACAATCACTTTCATAGAAACTGTAGATGGTAAAATCTGTTAATTATAAAATATAAATCCTATTTAAGAACATAAATGTGTCAATAATTTTTTTATTTGACTTTTCGGGTCCCTCGATAAAAAGAGTGAAAATAATTTACTTACAAAAATGTATAACATTTGATAAAGTCCACATTATTATCGTTTTCACGAGTACCTTTAAAGCTAACAATGAAAAAGTTAAGCAAAACGGTCCGAGTACTTGAAATTGATTTGTCAACATTAATGTCTCCAACATAAAATCACATGAATGGATGATGTAATACAAAAAATAAGTTCTATCCAATAATGTATAGCGCATAAAAAGTGAAAAATTGTATAACGTTATTGACGTGCTACTGAATAGTAGGTAGTATAAAACGGATGTGACGTTATCATAATAAAGTAAATTTAATTTATTTTTCGGAATAACCTCATTTTTACATTGGGGATTTAGTTTTCATATATTATCAAAAGGTTTTTTTTCCACCCAACCCGCTTTTGTACTAGACCCGCATAAATATCAAATTGAAATACTTTAGGATTTGCAGTTTCCGGTAAACCGTTTGTGAAGTTTGGAGAGAATGTTTCGAGTTTTAACTTTCACACAATGTCGACGTAGGGCGTTACTAACAGTGAAATCTGATAGGTGTCCGTCCCAATTGGAATTGTTTCCAAAAGGATAATCACATATATAGGTCACGTGTGGGTGGGTGGGCGGGGGGAAGGGTGTATAATTTCAAAAATTAGGACCTAGACCGACTTACATCCGTGTTGGTCTGCCACGTATTGTACGGGTAGAATTACTCACAAATAAACTTAAAAGACGGTACTGGCCGAAAGTCATTGTTAGAAAAAAAGCTGCGTGTAATTAAGACGATGCTGAGGAATATTCTATTAATTACGGCAATGGCGACGGCCGACGGAAATAAATAGATAATCGCGTACGTGCCCGGAAAATAATACACATACAGAAAGTACAGGCGGGGGTTAGAAAAAGTGGCCGTAATCCGGAAGTATGAACATGTCTATGGCCCTTAACTATTAGCAGGATTAGTCACGTCCGTTGGCGATCCCGAAGGCAGCGGCCGGGCAAGGTAGACAGGGTTTTTTCCCCCGTATTATCCGAAAGAAAATCGGTTTTTCAAAACAGGGTCTAAAAGCTAAATTAAATATTTATATCGGAAATTATTTTTACCAAGACACTCGTAGAGAGAGAGAGAGTATAGTTATAGTCTATATAGATATCGCGTTCATCGCGTTGTGAATAAACGTTAAAGACAACTTTGTAATATTTTGTTAATGAAATATTTCATCGAAAATGTTTCAAACGCTATCGCCATTGTTATTGCTACAAACGTTGTTTTTGAAAGTATGCACCTTCATCACGTCAACGGCAAGTTTTGTTGGGTTTATATATTATCTTGCTCTTTAGATCTGTACAAATTCCTACTGAATTTCTTCCTTGTCCGGTAAATGCATTTCTCATTAATGCGAACACTTCAATCCATTCAAAATAGCGCTGTCGTTATATTGTTTATACTTGAGTTACAAAAATACAGTTGTATTTTCGGAATAATATATTTTAGTTAATATTTTACAAAATTAACTTTCAGTTTAAATCAAAATTATTCGTTTATGCACCATTAAGAAATTAACTATTATTTATAAAAACAATTAATTAACATAATAAAAGTGAACGAGTAAAATTATTTTTAATTTCAGAATGTAGACAAGGGAAAAACACAATAGAGTTTAAAAATAATTAAGGTATAAAGCTTTCAGTAGATTATTAGAAATATATATACTGAATATGTTTTGCATTGAGTGAGAATAATTATTGTATTGCTATATAAAATAAAAATAAAACATTACAGTTATCATTTGTTTAATAGAAAACTAATTTAAAACGTCAGAGCAATCATTATAATATTTAATAAATTGTAATTTTATTTTTAAATGATTTACATTTATAAAAAAAAACCTTATTTGTATTTGAAACATTCTCTATTGCATAAATGGTGGTTTTTGTATTCGGTTAAGACACAATAACTAATGACAAATTTAAAAATAATAATACATTTTCTCTTGAACAATTAATTTCCTCAACCATCTGGACTGGAACTGTCGTTTCACTGCGTTGGTTTTTTTCCCGTCTGTATAGGCTGAGGATCCGTGTTATTTTTCGCTGTGATTTTTCTTACTTATGTGAGCTTTTCATCCCAAGTCGAGTAAGCCAGTGTTAATCTCCTTAAACTTTTAATAATTATTTTAGTCATTAAGGAAGAAACACTATCAACCCGACCGTATAGCTTGTAAACAAACTTTGAGACGAGACCTAAAATAATATCAAACAGTAAGGAAAATAAAAATATTATAACGGCTGATGAGGTATTTATTACAGCTAACATCGGATTTAAATGTATGTAGAAAAATGTAATTAAATGTATAGAGAAAAGAGGAGAGATCAGAATAGGAGATGAACAGAATGCGCAGAGTGTGGGGCAGATAGAAGAAAGATATATTGATGGACAAGAAAGTATAGACGGGGATGATTAGGTTGGCCAATTCCACTCGCGTTGTTACGAAGACATAATATTTCTAATTGTCATACTCGTCAGTGTGACTGTAAAAAAATAAAATAAAAATATTAAGATAACTCATGCGGGTATTGCGCGCTTGAGGGACACATACTTGGTTTTTTTGGTGAAGTCCGTGCGTTCTACAGAATAGGCCCTAAAAAAACGAGTCGAGGGTAATTGTGAGCAGAGAACAATGCGGAAATACATAGTAGTGTATAAGCCCGGAATGTACCTGAGTCGTGTTAATTTTCTCGACAAATTACCGCTGTACACCCCCGTTGCACCCTGTAATAATAATAAAAAGTTTACCCTTGTATATTTTTTAACGTTTTACCGGTATTTACGCAGTGCCTTGAAAAGTCGTTTATTTGCATTACTCGAATAAACGTCCGATTAAACGAGATACTGTTAATTTCCCAAGATTCCGGTGAGTGAAAAATCGTTAAATAAATCAATCCTGCGGCGTCATAGTCGTTGGCAGTCGAGGCCGGTCACGTACATGGGATTGTTGTATCAACACTGTTTTATAGGTATACGCCAGCGATTTTGTTAAATGAATCGGAACACCGCCGTGCAGATTTGTTTTTCTGTTCGCTGGCTTATTAATTGGATTTAAAAAACAATAATAACGCAGTTCCTGTGTACCCTCGCCGGCCGTTGCCGGCGTCGTCGATTAAATGGCAATCGACGTTTTTCATTGGAAAGGGGTTTTATTTTTTTTTTACTACACCCCTATTAATTATTTTGCACATACGCACACATGTATGAAAACGTATTTGATTTCTATCGAACGATCAGACAAAAAAAAACACGTGGTCATTAATAACGAATTTGTTTTTCACAGGTGGCGATAGAAGGACTGACCGGGCCAATAATGTTCAACGACGACGGGAAACGTTACAATTACACTCTACACGTGGTACAAATGACAATAGACAGTACCATAACCAAAGTAAGTATTGTATAAACATGTTTCTTGTTGAAATTATGCGTTTAGCCGAGCAAAATATCGAGAACTGATTGGTATAAGCAATGCCTTGTTGTTTTCCGTTTTTTTTATTAACACACATTCATTTCAAAACCTTGTTACAATATTAATTAAACGCAAGACGTAAGTGTCCCTTATTTTATTATTACTTTCCAGCTGCTCCTAACTAGCGACATGTGGCTTTTTATTTGACACCTTTGCTGCTCGGATATCATAGCTCATCGTTCCCTCCTCACCATTTCTATCCATAAGTCGAGCATCCAATTTTTCTGCATTTATTTATATATTAAAAACTCTAGCACAACATCGAGGCGTGCATTTTAATTTTCTAAACCTGTACCTCGTAGAGTGATGTCCAAACTGTTCAACGTTTCAACGTCCAATCGAATGCACGCGATTAATATAATATTAGATTTTGATATGTATTTATTTAAAAAAAAAAAAAAAAACCTAAAAATACTTTGCATTTATATGTGTGATTAATTGCAACCGTGTCCGATGTTCCAGATTGCCGAATGGTCGGATACAGATGGCTTTAAAACTGTCATTAGCAAACCGGAAAGGGTTCAGTCGTTGGGTCATCCGCATAAAGGCAACGGCACATTGATCGTGGTCACGGCAGCGGTGAGTGAATTTACGCACAGACCACCGGCGACAACCGATCGTTTTGAGCTAATTAAATGTTAAGCAGGCAAACACTGAAGTTCCCGTGGGAGTTGGCGCGATACGGCTGCAAGTTTTTGTGATACGGCCGGGCTAAAAGCGCAAGGGGGTCCCAGAAATTAGAGTAATTGTTGTAGTTGTTGACAAAGATGGTCCACGGTGGTGGGTTTTTTTTTTGGGAAAACTACAGAATATAATATCGTACGTCAGAGGAGCGAAACTGGTTTAAACCGACATTGAGAAAGAAACGTCGAATAATACGATTTCACAAGATAAAATGCCGGATATGGCATAGCTCGGATGAAATACTGGTTAAAACTTTAAACATTATCGGTTCGCCAACACATAGGTTGCTGATAACAGCCGAGATGGAGATATGGAATGAGCATGTGATAAAAGGAGCTGTAGTTTTTTTTTTGTTTTTTGGTTACAGGCGAGTGGCAAGGAGAATTGAATTCGAAACAAAACAATAGCGTGAAATGTCGGTATCACTGAATAAACGGTATTCATTGTAGTTACTGCGGTAATGCGTCAGGTTTAATTTGTACGGCATAATACAAAGGAACGATTTATGGCTAACATTACAATACGGTTAGGTTGGCCGATACAATTGTAGTATAATATTAACGATTAAAAAAGCATACTGCAAAAGCCGTGTACGAGCTTAGGATATTATAATAAATCAAAGAAAATATTATATGAAAAAATGTACTAAAATTTTTTAAATTAAAATCCATTTGGAAAAAAAATTAAGCAACACTTGTGGTTATGTAAAAAAATAACAAAATATTTAAATGCATATTTGTTTGCAAATAAAAAATAACTTTTTGATGTGAAACATCTAATGGCGCAGTACGGAAGTGAGGCCGACTCTTGGCGTGGCGACGCATAATACTCATACATCGAGTTATCTATCAAAAAACTATATATAGCTATATATTTTAGTGTAACATTTTATTCTATTCAAACAATAATGATAAAATAATATTGGGTCGATGAACAATGTGTAAGTACATTAAGTAAAATTATTATACCTAATCTGGAAGCTAACCTAATCATCACCTCCCCTTTCCCCCCTCGGAACATTGATATTTTCAAAATGTTTTACTCAAGAATAATATTTAATTTTACTATTACATTTTAAAAATAGTTATATTTTAAATTGTTATATTTTTTGTACAACGATAAGAAACTGAAAGCAGTGTCGGGTAAAATGTAATTAAGATAAAAAATAAAAGATAATTAAGGTATGGTTAAAAAAATAAAAGATAAGTTGTAGGTAATTTTTAATATATTTCAAATAAATAATAAAATATAAAATTAACCTTAAACAACTTTTTATTTAAAAAGTAAAAAACTTTTTATTATTAATCTAATTTTATGTGTCTTGGATAATTTAAAAATGATAAATATTATAGACATTGGACATTAAAGCAAATAATAAAGATTAAATAATTTCATCATAATAAATTATTTAATAACAAATATATTTTTAAATATCTAGATAAAAAATTATTTCAGTAGTGTCTAAATCTGGTTGAAAGTAGTGGTTGGTTTTTAAGAAGTTGTCGGCATTCAAAACAAGGAAAGAGCTTTAGCGTAATGTGTAATACATTGAGGGAGCTATTTACTGTTTACCTTTGCCGTACACAATACTGCCCTTTGCCGAAGCAGTGTTATTTTCAAAAAGATCTCTCTAATAGAAATCAATATTTTACAATACCAGTTATGACTTTTGCTTACAGTATTGTAAATAAAAACAAAACGAAAATGTTTACAAAGGACTAAGGAGAAATTGCAATGAGTAGAATATCTTTGTAAGACTTTATTGTGTAGAATGAAATGAGTCTTGCTTGTTTAGGAATGTTTGCACAGTGCAACCGACTATTATAAACGTAATGAGTAATTAATTTCTTGGCATACAAGTCATGCGGTTGTACGCTAGTAATTTTAATTTAAAATTGTGGTATTTCAACTGTACAATGTTTAACCACAAATGGACTGTAAAATTCACCATAAACTTTAATAATATATGTCGTGTCCCGTAACCGTTTAACTGGTTTAGGTACACAGTAATGTTAACATCAAATTTGCCGCTTAAGTAATAATAGTAAAGCGGTCTTTTTTATGAGTTTGTTGCAAATGCGATTTTCTAATTAAATGTCGTTTGTTTTCAATGCAGGAAGAGCCTTTTATGATGTTGAAAAAATCTGGAGAACCTTTAACGGGAAACGATCAGTTCGAAGGATACTGCAGAGATCTGACTACGTTGCTGGCAGAAAAAATTGGAATAAAATGTAAGTATGATTTTATACTGTCCGTTAACTATAATGGCAAATGAGACAATATATTTATTTTCATCATGCAAAAATCGTCAATGACTAATACAATGAATATTACAATAATAGAATTCTTGATTCATTAATACATATTCACCTAAATAATCGTGTAAATATATTTTTTTGAAATTGTAAAATTTTTAGTTTTTCCGATACTCCAGAAAACTCTTATTATTTTTTTTTTTTTAATACTACCGAATTTTCTAAAAAATGAAATAATATATATCATCCATAAAATGTAATCGCGGATTTATTTCCATCCTACACTGATAGGTACTCTGTATTATAGGTGGGCGCTTTCTGGAGAAAGTAAACTCGAGTTAAGGGTGTTATTAAACGTAAAATATATTATGTTTGCAGTATAATATGCATGGACCTACCATGTTAATAAATCATCAGCGCGCAGGCAATATCAACATCAATGGCTTGTTAAGAGTTAAATTCGTTTTGGTTTTCGACACTGGCAGCGTGGATAGAGTCTCTCGCTCCTTTGGGAATGTCAGACGCGCGACGTAGATAATATTATCTGGTGCCGTATCAAAGTCAATTACACACATGCTTTAAACATTTTAACCTAATTTGAGACGTGGAAATCTTACGGCCCCCGCGAGGCGTCTAATTCGGCTTTATTCACATTCTTGTGCGATGGATTTTTTTTCCATTGAGATTCTCCGTGTCTATCCCGTTTGGCGGTAGCGCGGTTTTGCACGTATCATCATCGAGACGGCATTATTTTTTCGTGACGATGCTGCTAATGATATTGTCAGTACCGAACATTCAATTAACTAGATTGTATTTCGAGAACAATATAATATTATATGCAGCGTATTACGCTCGGCGTCGAGTGAATTAGAGTGATTAAAGTTTACATTGTCTTGTTGGGCTGCAGCTTTTTGTCGGCATCGACAGCACGACGCAGTACACTAATAGCGGTTTTCTTTGTCCATAGCGCACCGTAAATTTGAATCGTATGACCGCAAACGCTAACGTATGCTACACTATGTATATATATATATATATATGAAACGGCAAAGGGGTTAAGTAATTGTTCAACTTGTTTCCGTGATAAAGTCATAATTTGGGCATGGAAGTTCGCGCGCAGTCCGGGTTTTGGGGGCGAATGAGTTTTTCATCCTCCGCCGTACCAACCAATCGCATACGATTTTGAATAGATAAGCACGCTACTCAAGTAAATCAGTCCGCCGTAAAAACAAGTTATTGCTTATATTTTATGTGTTTGTATTGAAAAAAAAAACACCATTGTATGATCAATACCTTCCCAGGCACGCTTACAGCTATCGATTTGCGTTGTTTTCAGAGTATGCATGTCTAAAATATATTTAAAAAAAAAAAATTGATTTGAAAATATAACGTGAAGTAGAATTAAGACATAATATCTACTTCCTTTCAAAAAAAATAATAGGCCTGAATCCATGAACTTGGATTTCTTAGAGTGGAATTCAAATTTCCTAGCTACTTTTCAAACAATTCAGTATAAACATGCAAATGCATAAACTTCCGGGCCCTATTCATAATAAAACATGTTCCGGGTCGTCCTAAACCAACACACACTAAACATTTTGACGACAAATAAAGTAAATTACTGAAACTACTCTGAAAAAGGTCAAGCATCTCTTCAATTGATTCGACTCAAGTGAGCTGTCCCTAACCGATACTTATTCTAATCACATCCATTCACGGTTTGACATTTACCGTTCCGAATGCTTCTACTAACTTCATACAAAACGATAGACAATATTGGCATCAAATCGTTAACAAAAAAGAAAACAACAGAAAATTAAATAACACATAAACGAAAATACAAGAAAATGGTACATTAAAAATGTACTTCGACTGTGCTTTAATTGTTTGTTATTAATTAAATAATTAATTGTCATAACCTCACTATTATTCACGTTCAATTAGCGAAATTTTACTCTATTATGTTTACTCTATAATTCGGTTTATTCATATTTTTTTTCTCCATAAATGATGACAAAAATGTAAACCCAATAAAGGTTACTAGTTTTAGTGCACTCGTTTTTTTATAACCAAGTATTTGTTTTAATTATAAAAAACTGAATGCCAGTTTTTTTTTTATGAATTTAGCAGTATAAATAATAATTTCTCGGAAATTAAAGTGTATTTATATAGCTCCGGTTTAATGAAATATAATAAAACTGTTCAAAATTAAATTACAAATTATTACTTACTTATATATTAATTCATCTGTCATGCTGTTAATCTCTTGTCTTTATTTATTTCAATGATAAAAACTAATATAAAATTCTATTAAATTGTTTTTGGAAGAATGCTAAAAGACTTTTACATAGCATTATTAAAACAATTACTTATGCTATCTACACATTACTTGACTTTGAAGTCGTACAATAATTTATTTAAATTCAGTACTCAATTTAAACAGCGTAGGTATACGCTTCAAAAATATAAAATTTATTATTTTGTACCTTAAAGCAATTACACTTTCAAACAAACGTGTAAGTAAACATTTACCACACCGCTTGAAATAAACTTTTTCTTGTGATTAAATGGATAATGACTTAAGTTTTGATGGTCTAAAATTGTCCTGTGGGACGTCGCAACGCATAGTAAAAGTTATATTCAACTTAAATGATATTAGTATTCGTTGCAAAATTAAAAGCAATCGCTGCGCTAGTTTAACAAGAAGTAGAAGGTACAAGTAATTTAGGATTAATACACATTTAATGTCTCGTTAAAATATATTATAACCTTTTAATATAACCTTGTTTCTTTAATACTGCAGTGGCTAAGCGTTTATATACGACTTAACGATTTTTGAAAACGAATTAATAACAAAAAACTGCGACGTCGCTCATCCTTAGCTCATCCCTGTCAATGTCAACCTACATAATATGGTGGGAACTAAACGTAATAAAGTGTACACCGTATACGAAAATTGCATGACTGATTATATCTGATGATACCGTCTAGGCCCTAGGGAGGGTCTAGGTATACAGCGTTCGAAACAACGGGTAAATGCAAAAACAATAAGAAAAAACTTTAACGTTTATAAAGTGATCAGTTATCTCATCTAATGATCAGAACACATAATAAATGTACAAATGGTCGTGTAAACAAATCGATGTATCAATAACCCCCTCCCCCCCCCTCCCAACTACAAATTCTATACACCCTGCAAAGCCAAATGCATGTTGGCTGTTAGTTAAATTAAAAACGGCATTTCCGATTGGCGTTGGATGGTGCACGTCCGCATGTATGTATTATTTTCGTATGTGTAACTACGTTTCCGGAAAACACTCACCGAAATTGTCGTTGTACGTTTGGAAGAGGGTCATTGGCATTTGGAACACTATGTAACATGGATCTATGTTGCTATCATTAATCTTTTAAAAATAAAGAAAGGGAACGCCGCGAATTCCGGGAGACGAACAACGCAGGCGACACAAAATTCACGAAAACTAGCTGAGCTTTCCGTCCACGCAGAATGGTAGTGATTCTTGTTTTGGAAATTCCAATTGTTGTTAAAAAAAAAAATGCATTTTTTCATATTATCCCCAGCAGCCGGCTGTGGTTGTTATAAAGAACCCCGAATGGTCTGAACGGCGGTCTGACGGAGAAACGGCACGGTCCTTTATTGTAAAAGAGAACTTGAAAAGAATGCCGTTATGCATTGTATGTAATGAAAACAACTTCAACGTAAAGGCCGGAAGATTAGCTTTTGCATTTTTACAAAATGGATTATGCTCGGTAAAATCAATAAGGCGTATAGCTGCTCCTATATTGTGTTCGCGAAGGCGATATTTATTCAAAGAGAAAAAAAACCGAAGCGACAATGAATGAAATATGGCAAACGATGAGTAGAAGACGGGACAGGGTTTGCTAGTTAATATTTAACAAAAATATTTCATTATAATATATGCATGTAAAGGCGGCATGAGATTCAGTTATCGGAGGGGGTGAGGGCGTTGTTTCATGACTTATGATACCCTACACAGTGTTATTGACGTTAGTCTTCTGCAATACAAGCAAAGTACTCGTGAAAAATTGTTTTTTACCCAGCGACCGTTTGGTCCGCAGTGAAATATATTTTATTTGCCTTGGTATTAATCAAGAAACAAAGAAGCAATATATACAAATATAGCGTATGGCACACGGTCGACTAGGTGGGATAAAACGGCTATTAAATAAGATATACATTATAATGTTTAGAATAAAAGCCAGAGCAGAGGGGTCAAAGAGGTCACAGGTCTTCGGGGATTCTTATAAACGGAGGTGATAAGATCACTTGGGTGCGAGACTGTAGATGGTAAAATATAAATGTATATAATCGTGTTGTTTTATTTTTCACATTAAAATAATTGACTTTGGATTTTTTAAATAAAATACAAACATTGTCGTACATAATCCAAAAACTACGCTTAAAAAGGCGAAATAAAAAAAAACTTTCTACCTCTTTTATGGAAAATGATTTGGATTTTTACTGCAGTTCAAAGTACTATATCCCAATAAGAACATTCCACACGAGTTGAGAACTAATTAGACTAATTAGTTGAAAATTGTAGTGTGTCCTTATTTTAAGATGAAGATGTGAAGTTTTTACGGGTTATTCTCAATTTTTAAGGGAGAGAACAGAACTTTTTCATATTGGAATAATGCTAATTAAATTTAGTTAATAAAAAAAAAAATCCCATTAGCTACATTGATCAGTCTTTTTTAACTAATACATTTTATGTATTGGTTTGATGACGTACACACAAATCATTCCTTGTAGAGAGAGCTCTATTTTTTTCTTTGTTTATTTTCTGATTTCATATATTTTTTTATCTATTGATAAATTATATATGATTTTGCAATATAAAAATATCCAATAGATTTTGACTTCCACATCAAAGACAAAAAGTATAGAAGTACAGAAGTTACGAGGTTTCTATTTACTTGCCGTAAATAAAAAAACAATAGCTTATAAATCGAATTGCGTTTCTCTTATACTTATACGGAATAATATAGTATTTCTCTATTCAATAAGCCTATCTCAATGGAACTTGTTTTATTTTATCGAATTTCCACACAAGTAAAACGAACCTCGATAGCTTGTTGGCGTTAGTAAAAAAAAATAATATTTATTATGCTTTGAACTAAAATTTAATACTTCGGTAAAAAAAGTTTTTGTCAAGGGTTTATACTATATTTTTATATTAAAAAAAAGTAAATAATATACATTTCTACAATTTCATAATTTTAGTGACTAAGTCACAAAAAAAATGTTTATATTAATATTTCTTTGAGTATTCAAGTGACCAGTGTAAATTTAAAATGCATAAAATCTAAAATTAATATTGTACAAAGGCCTACGCTTATTTTGCTTACAACTAGAAGGGCGAATACAAATAAGTAAAATAAAGTTTTATTAAATTATAAATATCTTCCAATATTTTTTAATGTTAAAAAAATTATTAACTGTTCATCAAATCGGCCGAAAAAATTATAAAAGAAATAAACCGACCGACATATCAATCGCCTTTTATTTGTTTGTCAATATAATTTAACATCATCTCTTATAATATATTGCTTTTTTACTACGAAAAGAGTCAATATTTTAATTTTGTGCTTATTTGTTTAATAGATGACACTCGATATTTTAATTTTGTTTAATTTGATGAATATTTCGAGCACAAAAAATGTATAATGAAATTCTGAAAAACACAATAAATCGACTATTGTACTGTTGTACGCGTTTATTAATGTTTCTGAGTATAATAAATGTGTCGGCTAGCAAGTCGGGTTGTTTTCATGTTTGAAGTTATTTATTAGTTTTTCTGTATAAAACACCACCGAGTGTCTACTACTTAAATTGTATTACAAGAATTACACAGCTAGATAATTTTCATTTATATTGTGTCTGTAGAGTTTCAAATTAAAATAAAACAATTTTCATAAACACGCTCGGCACGGCGCTTAGAATCTTACACGCTAAATAGCACAACTGCGTCTAATAATTTTGAATATTTAAACAATATCTTGGTTGTAACAATTTGATTACTCGAGATATTATAATACTATGGTTTCTCTGTGCATAGTTCACGGTTTTTGTTAATTCCAATCAAGATATTGTGTAATAGGACGCGTGCATTTAGTATCTAACTAACTGTTTCATTAGCTGCTATAAGTTTAACAGCGTCTTGTTAATATTATTGTTTAGCCTTTTGTAAATAATGTCAACAAAAAAAAATACGTGCCTTCTCAAAGTATAAGACTAATGAATAACAGTCGTAATCCACATCACCCCATATTGTCTTAACTATTGTTTTATCATTCCATTTCGGTAAACTGAGCGTAATCAAAGTGTCATAGTAATTGAAACAAGATTGCGTTTTAATTATCAAACAACTAATAGTTATGGTTTTTTGTTTTCAGATGAGTTTCGAATAGTCAAAGATAACAAATACGGTGTAGAAAACCACGACATGAAAGGCGGATGGGACGGCATGATCGGAGAAATAATTAGAAAGGTAAGTCTTGAGAGCAAGGACATTTTTTTAACTATCAAGATTTTAATTTTGAAATCACCCACCACGTTTGTGAAATATATAGAAGCATTGTTCGATGTGCTTTCATTATTCCATCAAGAAATAAACCATATTGGAAATGACAGGCTTATGCTGCATATAATGTGCATAATATTTAGACTATTGTTTCGACAATACATGCATTTTTTTATAACGTCTTAATAAATTCAAAGAGTTTTTTTAAAATCATTTTTCAACGCCTCTTTGTCTCGTAGTCGTTTTAATTAAACGCATATTTATTGTTTTTTTAAACACTTTTAACTATTTTTTTTACTGCGAACCATCAAAATGGTAAATTAAAAAATACAGTGTTCTAGGTATGGTTGACAAAATATAATATAAAGCGTTTAACGTTTAATATTACAGAAGACGGAAATTCATGAATAAAATGGTTTAACTTTATCGAGCACAAACTACGGAATATTATATGTGTTTATTGCGGTTTGTTTGGTATAAATTATAATAATTTATAACGTATATTATAATACTTTGTTGGTTTTCACATTTAATGTGCTTTATTTTTTATCGAATAGTTTTAAACTCTCTGTAAATCGTTTTGTTTTATAACTTTGCTCCAATAATTATACTAGTTCCAATATCCCATCTACAAGCCATCGCGAACTTGTGTGTTAATGTGATTCCGCACATCAATATGTTGCATTTTAATAATGTGCTACTAATTGTTAAAACTAAATCGTTATACCTACACAAAAATAAACGAGAAGGATTTATTTTTTATTATCAGACTGTCGCAGCAATAATTTTATCTAGAAAAATTTCTGCGACAAAACTTAGGTATTGTTATTTTTTTTAATGTTTTGTTTTTTTATAGAATATGCTTATACTATAAATACTGAGTAGGATAGCTGTTCGAGCTAAGGACAGTTTCTAATGCTTTCTAAACTAGAAATGTATGGTGTCTTCTTAAAAATGGTTTTATGTAAAGAATGCGAGTCAATTTTATTTGGAAATAGTTGCGTTCGAATACAATCATATTTGTTACTTAACAAGTATCTCCCTAGTTGAAATGTAGGCAACCATTAATATTTATCTTGACACCAGATGCTACTTTTATTATCAAATCCTGTTGTAATCCCCTGCAGTTGCTTTTTTAACGACTAGATTTAACAGATGGTGATGTTGTTGAAGGAACCTTATGTAAATCCGCTTAGCCGGGAATTTGTGTCGTTTTAATTTAAACGCGCAATTCCAGAGTTCCATTTATTAACCAAAATGTTTTTAAAGTTCGTTGTTAATTCGGTTTAGTTTCTTAGCGAACTCTCAATCACTGTACGTTTGGTATTATGGTATTTCCTTATTTAAACAAAACGCTTTTTTAGCTCACATCGTTTTTTTTTTTACATTTTTTGATTCCCTCCAAACCCATTTCAAGAAAATATATATTTTTATAGTAATACTCAATCGAGGACTTAAAAATATTATTCATTGTCGTATTGATATACTAAATTATTTAAATTCAATTTAGTTGTTTGAACTTACCGATTAAATATGTTTTCTGTTTCCATTTGATACTGCAGCGAGCAGCCATTCAACAAGTCAACGGCCTTTGCAACCGCATCAGCCGTTTGGATATTATTTGCACCTGTACCTCTTTTTTTCTAATTCATCGTGTCATTACCGAACTTGCCGCTCTTATTTTTCTCTCCTCATAACTTAGTTTCCAACCCGTCTTTATTTATTTTCCTCTGTTCTATTATTTGACCACTTCTAGATTACTACTTTAAAGTCATTATTTATTTATCATAACCTAATCACTCAACTCGTCTACTCGATGAACGTTATCACTTCGTCTACATCCAATCTCTATTTATGTGTCGTGTCTAATGTTTAATTTGCCAGTTTACCGTTTAGACTGATTTGTCTACCTTCATCCTTCATGTTATCATATTATTCATACCCTACCTTTGTAACGCATGTTTTTATTTTTTACAAATTAAAATTCTCTGCACTTTTATTTACTTCTTCAAAACTGAAGAGTGTTGGTCGCTACCCATCTTTTACCTTTCTGTCCAATCTTCTATACCCAGCGCTATCAGATTTTCTCCCCTCCATATTATATCCATCTCTTTCCGGGTCCGTCCCTTGCGGTTTCCATTCGAATGACGCGCTTAGTAATTCATTTTCTACCCTTCACATAATTGCGTGACCAACCATCGAATCCTATGAAAATTGAACATTCTTTGCCAACTTTTTTTTTTTTTTGCGTTAAATACTGAACCGGCTTTCTTCTCGGTATTCTTGGTGCCGTTGATAATTATTTACTTTACTCGTACAAAGTTTTGTTTTGAAGCCTTTCCTTCGGGAAATAAGCGTGTCATAACTATTCTAAGCGTAATGTCGACACATAGATAGTAAGAATACCTCGAATGATTGATGTTGCAGGAAGCCGACTTGGCGATAGCGCCTCTGACTATCACGGCGGAACGGGAGAAGGTGGTGGAGTTCAGCAAGCCATTCATGTGGACGGCTTTGAACATTATGGTGAAAAAGCCGACCAAACACAAACCTGGAGCGTTTAGCTTCCTGACACCCATGTCCCGTGAAGTGTGGATCAGCGTGGGATTTGCCTATATTGCCGTCGTGATCGTCATGTATGTGGTATCAAGATTCTCGGCCCATGCCGCGGCCGCTGCCCATGTCAGACCCGTTACCTACGGCCTCAGCGGAAGCGGTAGCGGCGGAGCCCACGAACTTCAACAGACCATCCCCCCGCCGCCGCGGTTCGTCCACAATCCTTTCACGCTGGCCAACAGCATGTGGTTTGCCGTGGCTGCCATCACACAGCAAGCATGTGACATCGCACCCAGGTAAATATTACCCTCAGCTTCGACTTTACCCCATTAAGAGTGATCATCAGCTTTTCTACAACGGTTAGGCGTTCGCATCGAACAGGTCATTCGCCTACCGACATCATTGACGGTTAAATGAAGACCGCCTATACAATTCACAACATTTATTTTTGATTATGAATAGTTATCGTTTTTTGAAATATAAAAATATTGAATTTTAAAAATAAGAAAGTACTTACAACAACTGAGATTGTAAAAAATAGATTATTCTTTCTGTAAAAACAAAGAAATGTCCATGTTATTTGAATAATTTCAGTAATGATAAAACAAATAAAAAATAAATCGTTTTATTTAAAAAAAAAAACAAGAAAAAATTGATTAAGGAATAAGTTTATCCGTTAACTTATATAAATTCAATTCAAATGATGACTGACTTTGCAACGGTGTATAAACAGTCTTTTAAAGAATTTGAGGTTATTATTGAACTAAGGAAAATTTACAAACAGTCACAGCCATCGTTGTCATGCAAAAAGTATTTTCCTATTAGCACTAGGAAGTTTCGAAGGTTTAGCAAAGCTAAATTCCTAATGGAAAACTACCGTTGCCTTCACAACTTACCAGTGCTATTAGATCAGTCAAAAATCTATTAATATTTGGTTTTATAGATCACATAGAAAGTTGATATTATAGTTTAAAAGTTTATTAAACTCTTAATAATAATAAAGTCTATGTAAAAAATATTGTACAAAGTTTATTTTTCGCTGTAATTTTAAAAATATAAATTTTCAAATTAACAATTCTTTTTATCTATTCAGAACAGCGTTTACCAAACGACAGTATTCAAGGATGCTTTTAGATAATTACACTGATAAAAAATAACTGGTATGCAATATCTGTTAAAAATTCTTTAGTATCTAAGCTTTGCCATTATTTAAAACCCAGCAGTTTTTTTTATTTTGTTACTATTCATCAATTTATTTATTTTATTACTTTATTTTGTCACATTTTCATTGTATAACTGAAAAACTTTTAAGGTAAGTATCTGATCCAGTTCAAAAAGTTTTCTATTCAAATTCCAAAAATAAATCAATTCTAGTTCTCAAAAAACACACTGCATTTATGTAATATTACGTTTTTACATTCAGACAAAATAAGTCATAAAGACAACGATTTTAGAGGGTTCACTTTAATATATCAACAGGGGTCTTGAAGTCATGACATTTACTGACGTTTGATATTTTTCTTTTGGTTTCGTTTGTTTTGTCTTTTATCTAAAGTTTGAAAATAAACGGCATTTTAAAGCTTTAGTCATGCCAAAGCAATGTACATTAAAAGATTCCATTAAATTACTTCTTTTACCTCTCATCAAAATTCCCGGAGTACACATGTATGAGTAACTTTGGTTTACTCAAAGAGTCTACACTTTGTAAATATTGTTTTTACACCGTTCTGATAACATTATACATAGTGGGTACTATATATAACATTACACGTAGTACCCAGTATTTGATAAGTAAAATGTATTTGATATTATGTTGAGTGTCGTTTAGGTATACTTTTTGCAATTTCTGTTTGAAACTGTTATTTTCTTAGTTTTAATGCCGTAACGCTCAAAACGTAGTAGTGTCTGAATTTTTTTTCATTTCTCATTAGTATGCATATTTTTCATTTATTTCTGTGTTCTATTCTTTTTAAATTTGAACACATATTATCGTATATAGTAAGTAAATAATGTTGTTGTTTCTTGAATATAAGTACCTCGTTAATACAAATCCGTCATCTCCCAATAGCTCGCAGTTGTTAGCGGAAACTCCACTGCGATGATCTCATTTAATTCATATATTTTCAACTAAAGAAAATATTGATAAATTCTGGTAAAAATGATTTTTATTTTTTAAACGCTATTTTCATTGAAAAACTACAAAATGTGGATTGTTGGAGAGTTTTTCGAGTCAATATTTATTTATTTATTTAAAAACGTACCTACAATATAATATTGTAAAATTCGTGTGCTCGATACTGTTATTATTGTTTGGTGATCAATAACATTCATTCACTGCTTGTAATTTCTACAGATTGTATTAATTGATCTAATGAAAAAAAGGTTAAAAAAAATGTATATATGTGCGTGGTACAAAAAATACAAACTACAGACCTGGGACTATTGTGTAAATTATTTGTTCGCCGTACCTGCGCATATATAGTGAAAGTTATAAATGCATTATTGTGATTTGTCACGAAAGCCTCGGGTTTAAACGTATAGACATTTATTTGTTAGTTTTTTTTTTGTGGGCTTTTCCCGTGAGTATAGACTATATATTTTGAAACACATAAAGTCCACAGGCCTATTGTGAGCATCAAGTTCAAATTCAAACAGCCGATAACACTGTACAAACCGTTTACAACACTACATGTTTAGTATTTTCCAACCCTACGTTTTATTAGCAATACAAATTTCAATGCTTATTTGATAAAATATAAATAAATAACCAAAGACGGTCTTTGAGGTGGTTAAAAATTGAAAGCATTATAAAATAGTTTAAAACAGTGACAAAATTAATTTTAAGAAGAGTTACGAACAAATCAGGTTTTGTAGAGAAATGTGTTGATAATTGTATTATATGATTTTATGAGATTCTTCCCTTTAATGAAAATGTGATCAAAGATTTAAAAAGATATAGTAACGTTCTATGTCAACTTTTATATTAATTAAATGATATACAGACAATTATGATCGGTAAATTTATAATATTAAGTGTCAATGGAGTTTTCCATGAATAAATAAGCAAATATTGTAAAAAAAAAAGCAAAAACATTTAAAAATTACTATTATATCGGAAAAATAAATTGTAATACGTTAAATTGAAAAAATTGCAACAAGTAAATATTTACAGTTGACAAAGTTGTCAGTTTTAGAAGAATCATTGTATTTGTAATCGCGTTTTTATTTTTTTGGGGGGTTTCTTAATAAAATAAAAAATTCTTCGTGTTATGGTCCACGCTGGACCCTGCCACAGGCTCTTGTACCTTAATGACATGTTCGTAATCCAGATTCAGAAATATAAACACATTATTGTAAAAACAATACTTTATCAGCTCCGCATCGAAGCTAAAGTAAAAGATACTTTTGTGAGTTAAACTTTTTTATGTTGTTAAATTTGCAGCACATACTGTTTATGACCTCCCACCGAAGAATTTTTTACTATTATAATTACCGACCGTTTACTTTGTAAAAAAAACAGTGCACGGGTGGTATTTCCGTAATACTATCAATCGATATAATATATATATATATATATATAATGACTACGTTTTCGTCTCATGAGAAATAACAAGGAATTTGTGCTCTATAATTTGGCAATTACCATAAATATTAAGTGTACAACCTAAGCCCGGCGGCGGTGATATAATTTTGCCATAGCCAGGAACTTAACCTGCTATAGCCAATGGACGGGGTTCATTATACCTTGTATAATAATATATCGTGCAATTATAACGGCATAAATAGCTCGAGGTTGAGTTGATATATTGTTATTGGCTTGGTAAGAATGAATAGTCGATGATCATAAAAACACATTTTTGGTACAATACAACAATATTACCAAAAAATTAAGTTTTTTTTTATAATATTGTCTTTCGTTATTCCAAAACTACATAATTATCTATGTATAATCCAGTTTTCCACATACGTGGAGGTTAGAAACATGTGATATATTTTGTATTTTTATTAACAACAACAACTGAAACGCTCATTGTTTACTGTAAATTATAAAAGGTGTTGTGGAGCGTAAGTTTAGAAAGACAATAGTGAACCATAACGGAAAGTAATTAAATTCACTTAGTCGATAAAAAAATGTATATACACATATATGTATTAATAAATTTACGACTAGTGTTTTTACGATGTAGATGTTAAGACTAAGCTTTTGATTAAAATCGCCAAATAACATTCCTCAGCTTAGAGCCAAAACTCAATTAAAGTAAACCACGTATAGAGCTACACACACACACACACACACACATATATATATATATACTGTATATAGTATATAGGTAATCATTGCCTTTGTAGGTTTCGTGCCTTTAATGTTTTTTACCATCAGTGAACAGACGAGGAAGAGAGAGATTTCCCGGACCGCTGCGCTGGATCGATTTCTTCATATGACATGTTTATAGATCAGAAACCGTACTCGAAAATAATTATGGCGTGCTATAACTTTGTCGAAACATTCGAATTAGTCTGAGCTTGTGTGGATATTCTTTAGACATAGTATTACCGATTAAAAGCGAAAAACCAAGAAAAGATTATAACATAACCTAATCCTAGAAGTGGTGAAATCTTTTTTTTTTTAGCAGTTGTTTGTTTTCAGCTGATCACTTTCATTGCTTACAAATTATTATTGCCGAAAACTCGTGACCTCTCGCCGACTGCAATTTTTATAAAAGTTATCTAGTTTGGTTTCTTATGCGACAAATTATGCCCGAAAGGTGGAGTCCCGAATCATAAAAAATGCAAAAATCACATTGTCTCCTGGACCATATTAAAATGTATACGTTTATCTCTTATCCGTCGTGGGTCTCTCCTAGTCTGCGGCGGCTGCGCATAAATGCAATTTTGCCTCTTTTCTCTGTCTCTCCTGAGCGCGGGCCCGAGTACGTAGGTACCGGTCCGGCTCTCCGGGCATTGTTTACGGCCATCCCATGTGTAAAATGTATACGTATAGCTGTTGTGTATAATAAATTACCTGATCTCCCCGTAGCGTGTAGATTTTCATTAAAACCGCAACGGGGCCGCCAAAGATATACTAAACCTCTCGGACGGCCCAACGTACACGAGGGCGAGTGCTAACATAGTTTACATGTTTATTTATTATGCGATTGCAGCGAGCGAGAACCACCCGGACCGGAAAAGCCGGGTGAAATGCACATTGAAATCCTTGTCCGGTCCGGTGGATATTTCCAAAACTCAACACAATAGTAAATCGCAATATATGGTCCTCTTGCGCCGCCAAAAAAAAAAAAAGAAAACATACGGACCTTGCAACGAGAGTTGCGAAACCCTCAACCGCAAACGCTGTGCCGTGTGTTGGAAAGAGCGCGATAAAACATGTCGCCCAAAACACTTTTCCAAAAGTCGCCAGTTTCTAGGGATTTAAATAACTGTACTTATACTGCTATACAACAAATTGTAATTTATTTCTTCGTTTTCGGGCCCATCGTCATTCCAGCCGCATGTGCACTCGGACGAGGTGTTTTTGCTTTGTCTGGTCGGTACTTGTACTGGCTTATCCAGTGTAGAACTCCGGCAACTGGTTGACTATAGGTTGTAGACTATGTTGATTGCCGCCAAATTGTTTTTTCCAATCTATGATTTCATTGTGAAAAAGACAAAATCTAGCTACTTAAAATTGAAATAATCATTTTAACATTCGATCAAACATACACGCAGTATGTTCATTTGCACTCGTACAAATATATATTACTTTATAGGCATTAATGTGTTTCTCGTCGTGTTAGGTATTTAGTTTGTTGATATTTCCTCATTTAAAAAAAACATGGCATTTTGTAATTTAAAAAAAAGAAAATCGTTTCGTGGGAATTTTATCAACATTTTACGTTGAATATAATCGACTGAAAACGTCGATTGTTTGGAAAATGTATGATGTAATAAAATAACCGAACAAATATTTTCTACAAAAAAAAAACCATATAAAATTACATCTAGTTATTATTAAATTTTAATAAATTCCAAAAGTGACCATTGAGTTTAATTTTATCATAAAATTACCACGATTTCCGAGAAAAAATAAATGTGAGCTTCTGTTACATTGTTTACATGATAAAAATATCGGATTAAATAAATATTAACAGCAATATTATATTTTAAAAAATCTATTATGTTTGTAATTCCCTTTTTTGTTTTTGGCATTTCCTTTACCAAAAAAAAAAAAGTACTACACATTTTTTACAAGGTAGTTTTTTGTATGTTTATTCTACATCTATTTTAATTTCGAAAACTGCACTTAAAAAAGAGAAATTAAGAAAAAATGTTTTTTCTTTTTTGGCGAAAGAGCTAATGATATCAAATGGCATATCGATAATTCCATTCCTAGAAAACAGTACAGTGGGGTCGGGGGCATAGTGGGACGGAGAGGTCACAGGTTTACAGTTATGTTTAAATCTAAAAGTGATAAAATCACCTTCGAATAAACGCTTCGATGCAAATCAGTATTTAGTATTTTTAAGCCAGTACAGTCCAAACCAAGCACAGTATAAACCAGCAAAGTTAGAAAGTATTAAATTGCAATGCTGTATTTACAAACAAGCATCAAAGCGTTAATTTGAAAGTGATTTTATCCGAGAGGTCTAGTACAGTAGAGTGTAGGCATAATGGAATCAAATCATAGAGGCGACGAAGAGGTCACAGGTCTACAAGAATTGTTATAAATAAAAGTGATAAATGTGAATTAAATCACTACCTAACCTAACCAAACCGAAGTTATCTTGCGCCCAAACAGAAGAAAAACCCATACCTAATTAAATTCTTCAAATCTTCAATATCAATAGCTTCTCAGCTCTGCGTCGTAGCTAATAGATTTCCACATACATCACCGTCGACTAAGTTTTACTTCATAGATCCGTTTTTGTATTCGGATGATGTCACGATGCGAAACTTTGTTTAACCGACGGGAACGTTAATAGACTGTTGTGTGACAGAATCATGTGCATTGAATGTGTGTGTCTGTGTGTATGTATTTTGTGTATTGTTATTGCCGTGCTCTATATGTACCATACGTGCCGCATAACGACAACTCGGTGAAACTATGATTTACGTGCGTAGATATGTCGTGGATGTGTTCGAGAGGTCTCTAGTTAAGCACTTTCCAAAAGTTTTATAGCTCAAGTTTTTTACAAGTCGTAAAGCCAGAAACTGTCCGTGATGTATCATCGGGCGAGCGGTGTAAACGCTTGTTCGTTCTGCAACGTTTCGCCGATGATGTACAAACATTTTCTTTAACGTTGGGAAATCACAATATAGAGAGCATTAAATTTGTCCAAGTCTACTCTAAAAGACAATGTCGGCCGTAGTGAATACAATAGAGTAATCGACAAAATAATATTAAAAATTTCTTAAATTTTTTTTTTTTTTTAAAAACGTCAGTTAAGTAATAAAAAAAAAAGGAATTTGATTAAAATTGTAATTATGGAGATAATTTAATTATTGGGGTTTGCAAGAGAAAGCTATTATAATCTATGTTTTTCAAATGGGCGCTATTGACTAATGACTAGAAAAATTCAGATTTACACAAAAAAATAGACGATCATTTTTTTAAATCTTAAAAAAATGTTGTACTAAAAAAAAAATCGAATAATTGAAATATTCAATATGTCCTAATTGGCTAGATTGTTTCATTAAGTGCTGATTTAAAATAGTTTAGTTGAAGTTTTCATATTTACAGACTAACATTTACTGTGTTTATTATTTCATATTAATGGCTAATGATATTGTTTTTTCCCCCGTATTTTCCAGGACTATGCCGGGTCGTATCGTCGGAGCGTTTTGGTGGTTTTTCACCGTCATACTGATATCGTCTTACGTGTCCAACTTCACCGCCTATTTGACCCTGCAGAAGTTAAACTTGCCCAACGAAGACTCAGCCGCACAGACCGAAGTCGAATACGGCGTTCTTTCCCACGGATCTACGCGGGATTTTTTCAAAGTTAGTATGATAATATTATGTAAATTTACTTTTCGGTTTTCGCATAACACAACTTTCCCTTCGTTTTGTTATGTTATTACAATACTTACTTACACTTTGTCTGCCGGGGTCGGTTTACTGCAATTTGACACGGTTGAATCGACGCCACGCCTTGCCGCCACCATTCCGTTGCGTTTTAGTTAATCTATTTGTTTACGCATCACATGAGTTGAAAAAGGAAAAAATAACATTAAACGCTCCTTATCTGTTCCTCGAAATTATAAAGCTGCAACACGCTCGTTAAGCCTGCCGATAAACATTATTTATTTTTGCGGCCATTCGACGTTCGCCAAAAGCTTGTTGAAGGCATTTCCAACCCAATGGCAAAGTCCTAAACGTCCACCTCCACGGTACAGGCATCGATTCGCATATAGTTAGAACGGTTATAGTACAAATGGCTTTACAGCAGCGGTTGAATTGACGAAAGCGACTCGAGTTAGTCTGTTAAGAAAACCACATGTTTTTTTTAAAATTTTTGTCATATTTACAGAATAATCAATTACAACGTAAGAAACGTTATTATTTTTTTCGAAACAATAGACATTTTTGGAAATTGTCTATAAGATTAATCGTATTTTTACAATCTACATTTTCACATTAGCTGGTCTTTCGCTTGCCTTTATAATTTTTGAAAACCAGTGACCTCCCCTTCCCTCAATCAAGTAACAGTCGGCCTAACGACAAGGCACGATAATGACGTACATGCGTTTTAATATATGTATTTTTTTTTTTTTTTTTATTCTCAAAAGTTCACCGGTGTAGGCTGGTGCCGACGTTTGAAATTACTTGAGATACTTGATTGGGTCCCTTAATAAGTTGTTTATGCAGCAACGACGTCTGCTGCGAACATCTACAGCATTAAGTCGGCGAACCGACGACGATGGAAAAAATAATAATTTATTTTGGCGAATTCTTTTTTTTTCCTCGGTGCCAATTTAATACATTCGCCGTCGTAATGGCCGATAGGTGGCCCGCTGCGTAGAGTTCATAAAATAAAAAAATATATATCTTATACACCTGTACACCGCCGACATACTATATGTGACAGAGTAGTAAGTAATATAGACTTTTCCCATAACGAGTATGACTTTCGAGTTCTATCGACTGTAAACCTCTCGAGCGGCTATGTAGTGTTTTTTTTTTTTTTTTGGTGGGCATAAGAAAACTTTTCGTTTCGGCCCATTCACCACGGCGCGGTCGTTTCTTAAGCACTTTTTACTCGACATAAAAATATAAGAATAAAAAATAAAAAACCCTAAAATTTCTCGGGATAAGAGTAAAAAGAAAAACAAAATGCCGCCTAGTAGAATAATCGATTTGCTTCCCCTCAACTGATGATTCGAACTAATTTTTCAAATGGTCCTTTAAAACATTAGTCCAAAAGGAAAAAATCTCGGCTTCTTTATTTTTTTTTTATTGGCCCGAATAACACAGTTTCCGTTCTCTTCCTAACCACCGTTTATGCCACACATAAACAACTCATTTCGGCGGTCGTTTGACGTTGACAAAATCAATCGAATACAACTATTTTCGAGTTCGGCGTGTAAAAAAAAAACTCGATGAGATAATCACCACAAGTTTTAATTATTGATACACAACTATAAAAAATATAACTAGGTCTTTTCTTTTTATTAAAATAGTTCCTTATCCTCGAAATCGAGGCAAAGTCACTCGAGAAGCGACAATTGGAATGTTGATACTATCAGTACTCTGTTATTGACTTGGCATAATCTAACGTTATAAATATTTGGCCAGTTATTATTCGGCGGCTGGATAACAAGCGGTAAACCTATTTTTTTGTTTTTATATGTTCTATCTAGACGGTTCCTATAAAACTATATTGGGGTTAGGTTTACACGAAAACTTTTTTCATCCCGGGACAGGGTTTACTAAGATAAAAATATATTTGGGACTTAGTTTACTACTTCTGTCTCTGCTCTATTTGTTGTTTATAAGTTTTAATGTATTCTATTGTTGTCGTCGGCCGGGCACTGCGCGTATCTATACTATAAGGGACTCGCTTCGAAACTGTACTTTGTATATCGTCACATCTGAATGTAGGTATCAAAACAAACACTACAGTAGTGAAATTCATCACGCTGACCTAACCTCATCAGCACATATCCACCCATCAACCCTATTAATGGTTTAATTTATAAACTATGTGGGCTCAACACTATAAATGTATGCTTAACTGAACGTTAATCATACAACATTTAAAAGTAACAAAATCGCCTATTAGGACGGTGCCGTTAGGGTATTTTCAAAATCTTATTTAGCGACGACATTTTGGCTAATTGAAATGTACAAGTTCTGTATTATATACAATTATGGTTTTTGTGCAGAGGTCGCAGAGCTCGCTGTACGGCAAAACTTGGCAGTACATGAACGCCAGGAAGCCCGTGTTCGTGGACACATACGACCAAGGCATCCGGCGGGTGCGGAACTCCAACGGCAAGTTCGGTATGCTCATCGAGTCGCCAAAAGGGGACTACACCAACCAGAGGAAACCCTGCGACACCATGTACACCAGTCGTCACCGGGACGTCAAGGGATACGGCGTGGCCATGCCCCTGGGATCGCCTCTCAGGTAACGACCGTCCAAAATGCCCCATATACACAAAACGCATATTATTATATTACATTATTTAAATTTTTCACACGGTGTATGTGTTTTCGGTAACGCGCGTTCGCCTACCCAAAATTCCTTTAGGACGACGCGCACACACATACACAAAATATATATTGGAAAATCTCGTTTGGGCCTTTTGGGAAATGAGATCACCGCCGTCGGACGCGTGTCGAGGTGGTCGGATTCGCGGTAACGGGGAAATTGGGAATAGGGTAGGATAGGGTAGGCGGACCGACGACGAAGAATATTACTCGCGTCTTTTGGTTCAATGACTCTCTCAGATTACATTCGGCGAAATCACATTTTCACAGAGCGGCGGCACTGATATGAGGGGGGAAAAAAGAAAAACTCAATTTTCTGCGATTCGTTTTTTTGATCATAAAAAAACTATATCTATACACACGCGTGTCTTGGCAATAAGATTTATAAAAAAAAAACTACCGGTTAACTGACGACAACTCCGAAATGTTGTGTTTCTTATTGGCGTTATTTTTCCGAAGGCTTTGTGTCGAGCAAATGGGATTCAGAACTTCGCCGAACCTCGATGCTTCGAAATACATATTGTACTATGACGCGAATATAATACATCAAAATAATTATTCGAGTCGCGAAAATTGTATTCCGGTTACTAGACTAGAATTTTAAACTAAATTGGCAAATAACACTCACCTTTTTTGGGGCCAGAGTTCGGTACTAAAAAAAAGTAGTTATTTTATAGCTTACTAAGTAAGAAAAAAAAAAGGATTTGTTTAAATGGGTTTCAAAATAAATAGTATTTAATATGACTCCACGCTTTACGTATTAATGAACACCTATTGTGCAAATTCCAGTCACAAGTAAACCCAAAACGCAGGTGGAAATCCCTGAATTGTTACTTAAGTCGTATAGCTCAATCGGTAGAAGAATTTCCCCTTCATTTGTTTGTTACATAGCTCATTTCTTACTAAATATAGTAATTCATCTGTTTTTTTACTAACATCCTCTAATAATAATAAAGCGTTGAGTGTTACATTTGTCACGCTGTCTAGTATACTATACAAACTGTATTACATAAAATATTATTAAATGTCTTTCGTTAATCATCTGCTATTACAACGCCCACCCTTTTGAGGGGAAATATTTCATTTTATTGATATTTATTTGACATATGTACCGAAATACCAACTTATTTACTTAAGATACCCGAGACAAAAACAAATATAATGTTATATAACAATTACTAATAGATTGTACTTGTGTTTGATATCCCCCGAGGAAGGTAAATTGGTAATCGCATTTATCGGAATTGACAAGTCTTTGTTAAGTGTATAAACACTAGTTGGTAAAGTTTACTTAACGCAAGACTACAAATACTAATCGTCTAATGTATCTAAATCATTTTTTATCGATAATACGAATAGCCATAATACGATTAAAATTGGTTTTGTTTTTATCTCTAATTTTATACTAAAAAATAAAATAATGTTTGATAATTGTTTGTTTTCTATAAACTTGTTGGCCATTATTCGTTAGTAAACCATACAAATGTACTTGAATAATTTGATTTGCAAATTCTTCGAATTATATTTTTTTATAACTTAAAAAAAACACCATTTAAAATTTGGTAATTATTTTATCATTATAAAAATACTTAAAAAGAGGTAATTTTTTTTTATTTTTGTTTATTATATAATTCATTTTTTTCTAGTTCTGACTAGGAGGTTTTCATGGTTATTAACAAAAATGTTTCATACTTTTACTTTAGTCAATTTGTTACTATACCTTGCATGAGTTGCACATAAGAACCGACGACTTTATCTTCTTCATTTTTGTGTTCCTATAAAACTGTTGGTATGTCATACAACCTCGCTGCTACCCATTTACTCTGACCTTTTAATTTGAAAGTCAACACTAGTTTTAATTATCTATTTCGCTCTGAAGTTAAAGATTTATCATTTTGAAAATATCGCAATTTTGAACGTCAGTAGCATTTACAAAGTTCAAACTCATTAAAACTCTGATGAGGGACCGTGGTTAAAAAGTTTCAGCTTCCCTAAGTCACAGACCTTTCAAGAACATCTCGGTAATGGGTTGAATTTATTCGCCATAAGATGGACATCAATCTTGTGCAGACAAATTGGACATTTTCTTCTTTGGTCATTGTGAAAACAAAAGTAACTAACATTACACAAATCGGCACATCCCAACCAAAATGCCAACACTTTTCCATTAAATAAATGTCAGGTCTGCGTCCCTAAGTACTGCAAACTTCTAGCGATACCATGTTCTAGTTTCTCATCCTACATGTCATTATTTTGTACATTTCTTGTAATCAGTTTTCTGCTTTTCTAATATCTAAAGTGCTGCGAGTCCAGAAGCTTGTCTCAGAACTTTCAAAACGTTTGAAAAAAAAGATGAAAGTTCTTTTTAATGTTGAAATTGCTACCTTTATAAAAAAAACCCTTAAGAAGACTACAAAGGTTATCATTAAAAATATTTTAATAGCGACTTCATTAAATTGCTTATGATATTTTTTTGGTACTACGTTAAAACTGTCAACTGGTGTTCATCACTTGTCTATCTATATACTAGTTACTAGTATAAGTATAATCATACTATGTAGTATCCGTGCCTGTATGTAACGAACCGATGGTTGTTCAGTTTGTTTTCAGAATTACATACAACAATAAGTATTGCCGGCTATTGTTGTTTTTTCTCCGGAAAATAGTAATTGTTTTGTGTATACATTTGGAATCCGCAAACTCGCGTCTTTCGGTCTGTTCGGATTTTGGAAAATAAATTGAAGCTCATCTCCCAATCTGGTCGACCGATATAGCGTCGGGTATGATGAATGGAAATAATACATCAAACGGACCATTGGTTTGTGTAAGTGTGCTTTCAAGTGAAACGCAGGTCTTTAAACTATACAACCTTGGTCCGTTCGTTTCCTCGAAAACTCATTTGGCCCTTTGCCAACCAACCGATGCGCTTTCGGAAGTCCAGTGGTTATTTCAATGTAAACTGACTGCGCTAAATAGCGTTTAGACCTATTCAGCATGTTAATCGCCGACTCCACAAACAATCATTATCATCGCACTCGACGTTACACTCGAATATTTACTCTGTTTGTGCTCGTACTTGGATGATTCAGACATTGGCTTAAGCATTTCCAATTAAACCGATCACAAATTAATTGCAAACTTACACACGAGAAAAACAAAATATGGTCGAAGATAATTTTTTTTAAATTTTAGATAAAAAAAATAGTATACGCATACATTAACAATAATATGTTTGACGAATAAATTTGTGATACACAATCGAATGGTTAAATAAAATATACATTTTTATCTGCTCATTTAGAAAAAATAGTAATGTCTAATTAATGTGTTAGTACAATTTGTAACGGTGGCAAAGTGAATTTTAAAACTAACTAGTTTCTAAAAAAAAATCTTTCGTCTTTTCGTTCCTTTAATTTCGAAAAAAAGTTGGTTTTAAAATAAACTACTACAATTTTAATCCCTATCGTTTAAGTAGAAATTTTGAATGTCTAGAACGAATAATGTAAATTTTTATTAAAGCCGTTTGATTTTTTTTTTTTGGTGTATTTATGTCGCAATAAAACGCCATAACTTTACTGCTATTTGAGTTATTTTAATGTCAAAACTTTTACAAACGTCGGGAACATAAAAAGAAATGTATTGAAGTTATTATTATTATTTTTTTTTTTTTTAAATCGTGTTCGAGAGTAAATGTAATTTATTATTTTCGATAGTATGCTCGTCCCCACCCCGTCCTTCTTTCTTTGTTGGCCGATTTAATGGTTTTATATTTTATACCTAAACAATATTCCGCGTTGTACAGTACCGCCCTTTCAGAGTTTCGCATCCTGTATAGTCGATTTATATAGGGTAACGAGGGGCCATCGAAAATCGTTCTAGTGCCAAAATTGGGAAACCAATAAACGAGGAGGGGCGCACTTTTGATCTATAAGGTTGTTTTCCCGTTAATTTTATACCCGCCCAAACGGGTGTTCACCGAATTCACACCTATACCCAAATGTGTGTAGGTATAGAATGTGTGGTGAACACCGGCTAAAGTATATTGACGCATAGCACCTGTATGTATAAATTATTATTTTTAAAAAAATACTAGTCGATTGTACATACTTGTCAATTTCATCGAATGGTCACCCGAAAAATTTTATGAAATGTTTCCACAATACTATGTATTGTCCATATTATTGAAATTTTGTTAACAGAAAACACAAATTTGCTTTCAGAAATCGAATAAACGCCGCCATTGCGCAATTGTCAGAGAGCGGTGAACTGTCGAAGCTCGAAAGCAAATGGTGGGAAGACAGAGACGAGTGCGGCTATGAAGCGAAGGTAAGACAATAAATCAACTTGTGGATAAAAAATAATTATTATTGTCTATCGCAGTCCATTTTGTTGTGTTCATACGAATAGCTGTATGAAAAAGTAATAGAGAGATTTGTATACTATTGCCAACCGGATTATGACTTTCATGTTGTTGTCCGAGATGAGCGTTGATACTCGTTTGTTTTTTTTTTCCATTTCGTTTTTTGTACATTTCAAGTCCGTCTTGATGTAAAGATAAATTTAGGTTTTAATTGTATTGTTTTTATCCTAGCTCATAGCTATTGACATTGTATCCTTTTAATACATACATTCATTTTATACATTATACCTACTTTCCATGACCGACCTAAAAAGTACTATTATTAGTATTTAAATTATTTTTTTATATTTGAAAAGTAGCCTTTGCCAGGTGAAGGGTTTCTTTAACTAATCCAGCGGCAAAATATATTTTTTTTTATTGAAATTTTTTTAAAAAAACTCAACTATTCGGATTCAGTTTTACTGAAACTATATTTTATTAGCTGGATGTGTTAATAAAATATTTCGCCGAAAAAAAATGTTTTTTTCTTATCATTTCATTAGGATTCTAAATTCTAGAAAATTCTTGGAAATTATTTATTTAATTTGAACTTTTATTTCAATAACTAAAACAGTTATCGTTTGTTAGCATACCTATACAAGTATGTACCCGTACAATATCAGATATATTGTTTTCGTGTGAAAATTAATAAAAACAAATTAATGGTTTTTTTTTTTTTTAATTGAGTAATATTGTTTTGAAAATATGTCTACATAAAACTCCGTAAACAAATAGTTGTTTGTTTTATTTTTTTTTTTTTACGAAACAATTATTAACATTTTGCAGCGTTTCCGAGAAATTCGAGTTGATAATTTGGTGTGTATAAAATAATAATAAAAAGTTACACGCTCCTAAACACTACGGCCAAATTAAACACTTTTTTTTTGGCGAAACGCCTGCCGGGTGTTTGTCCACATTAGCATTATCAAGCGTGTATACTGAGCGTGTACTCGTCATTTTTTAACTTAAAATAATACCAGTAATACACATGTAACATACACTGTATATGTATTACACAGTGACGACAGAAATGGTAATGGTGTATAGTATATATAATTTATGTTAAGTAGAAAAATGGCAGCATATGCTCGACAGTAAAGTTTTTCTGCGGCTGGCCAGCCCATCTCCAGGTGGACGTTAAAACGCGAGAACACATCAGCGATTTTTTTTTTATTTAGTTATATATATATATATTTTTGTTAAGTTGAAATTGCCATAGTTTTGCATGACAACGATATCATATGCACGTTTTAATTCCCACAGGAGTCCTTCCGGTACGCCGAGTTGACGTTAAACAACATCGCCGGTATATTCTACATACTGGTGGTGGGTCTGATCGTCGGCATCGCCGTGGCGCTTTTCCAGTTCTGCTACCGGATGCATTCGGATCAAGCCAACTCCAAGGTATGTTATTAATATATTATTACAATAGCTGTAATTACGACCAGTTCAATTGTGTACTTAGCCGATTCACCGGTGCTGAAATGGGTGCTGTTAAAATGTACGCAACAATACCCGTATGCAGTTTTTGGTTTTTGTTCTGTTTATGTGATTGGCCATAATGTTGTTGGTATCTTTATCTATTTCTCGAACTTCCTTATCGTTTTACCGCCGCTATAATTATATAGTAAGCGCCTGTACGTCATATGGTATAATATAAGATACCTGCCTGTCTCGAAGCATAAAAGTTTGTACAAGTCGACCGGAGTGCGTTGGCGGACGTTCAAATTAACGCTATAAATTGCTTTTATATTATAGTAATAGAAACGACGTTTTCCGATTTCGTATAAAAATGTTATTAGGATAAGCGCTCCGGTAAAGTTTTGCCAAAACAATTTAATTTTCAGATCAAAAAGTTATTCAAACATTAACTAACAGTGTTAAAATCCCGTTTGTAGCAATTGGCAAATTGTAAACCATTCACACGAGGCGTCCGTGTAATCCACTTTGTTCATTATAATGGCGTTTTCGGACGTCCAGAATTCTATGATTTATACCAATACACTCTTGTGATACAATAGAATCCCGAAAACAAATAAACCCAACTTCTCGCCGATTACATTTACAAGAGTGTGGCGTTTATAATAATTTAACCAACTCAAACAAGCGGCGGCACATATTATGTTTTATGGTCAGAAACCCCTTTTTGTGGTCAGACGAAGCGCTTTCACGATTTCTTGTAGACTATAATATTCAAATGGAACATTAAAAGTGTACCGTCGATGGTATTCAAAATAACCAAAAAAGTTTAGAGGGGGACGAAGTTTTTAGCCCCCTTTATGATATTCATAAAGTGTCATTATTACCATGGATATACATTTTTTTTTTGTGACAGGGTCCCACCACCCTTATGTGGGCCACTTTTATAAACGTAGCCTAAATACGGTATTCCCTAGGCACAATATTCATCCCCTCGCTTTAAAATTGATCTAGGGACTACCCTGAAACATATTATAAATACATTATGTCTTTTGCTAATTTATTCAAATGTATACAAAAAGGTTAGCGGTTTTTCAACGAAAAAGCCTAAAACTTCATTGTATTTAAAAATTAAACTCTTATTTAATTATGTATGATAGTACTTTCCTTTTGTACTTTATGTTGAACACAATGTAAGCGCATCCACATAACATGTTTTATCACTATGAATGCTTATGGCCAAGACAACCGGAACAGCCCAAAGCTGTTGAAAAGTTGTCAGTATTAAAACCGAGGTAGGAATTTTTCACGAGTTTCAAAAGTTTAAGCGCTGAAAACAAGGCAAATTGAAAATCATGTTTGAAATTAATTCAAATTGACAAAGATGCCCCAGATCACTTAGCGACGAAAACTTTATTTTTTTTTTTTAAATTTGGTCCGCTTCAGTCGTGTCGAAAACAATTTCCAAAGCACGTTAGTGTTTTTGAAAAAAAAATAGTACTTAGGTAACATTATTTCCTATGCAAGTCTATAAAGTTCTAATTTACGCGCACTTCCAAAACTGCGATGTTCCGTTATGTATTTTTTGTGGGGTTTTTTTTTCTTCTGAATATTTTGTTTGTCGTGGCAAAATGTAATTTCAAATTTATATAAAAGAAGAAACTGCGGTGTACCGCCGCCACTGCCGTCAGTCATCTAACAACCATAATCAACAAAGTGTTACGAACTGACAGCAACTAATTTATTTTATGTTATAGAATGATACAATATATTAACGTCACCTGCAAGTTATTGCACTTACTCTAATAGGAAAAAGTTAAAGGATGGAAAGGTCCGCCGTTATGTGTTTTTAGCGGTGTTTTTTTTATAATGAAAAAATAATAAGTTAACGTTTTTTGGTGTCCTTACAAGAATATCTTTTTTTTTATTCTCATTTCTCAATTTTTCTAGGCGCATGTCGGTACTTTTATGCAATACAATATTCTGTATAATATTTTAATTGCCTTGCTATATGTCATTGAAACCAATGAAACGAAACAAGCAAACAGCATTCATCGTGAGCGAAGTGGAGTGAAAACACTTTAATAATATTACCGCTGTTAATGCTATTAATTAAGCGGAATAGTATTTAATACTCACTGCTGGTAAAAAAATTGTTCATTGGTCTTTCGAGTACAGTCTTTTTGTGCCACTGTAAAAAAAGTCTTAGGGGGAAAAATATAAAGACTGAATAAATCCCAAAGGGCTTACTGGGAGAAGTACAAAAAAATCTCTCTCGCTCCACAGGGACTTTGGCTTATCGGCCATCAATACAATACCAAAATCCAATTTCGTTGACAAATTTTTTCCCGTCCATGTACAAGCGTACATCCCGTTGGGACTAACAAAATGTATATATGTACTTATTTTCCAATACTTTAATAAACTAAATATTATGTCCGTTGCTTTGCCAAAACCGAAAAAAACCTGTCAATGTCATTATTTGGTTCTTACAATAATAGCTATTATTATTGACTTTATTTGGACGTTGGTCGGTTTTTCAATATCCGCGAACAAGTGTAAAAAAAAAAAGAAAAGAAAAGGACCTCGTGGATTTTTAAAAAGAAAACTTGTAACATAAAAATTATTTTTTGTAAACATAACTTGAACCATTATTTTCCGTTAGACCGTTATTGGCAAGAAATAACATTATCGCGTGACATATCGGTTTGTAAGATAATTTTGCAGGAAATAGCGTGGAGTAAATTATTTTATATTTACTTGGTTATTTTATGAGAAACCCGGAAGATGGAAAATTTCAAATACTTTATTTTTAACGCCTCTCAATGCATTTCCAAACACGCAGTATATTATATTATAATAAAGGGTTCCCCTGGGACATTTGACGTTTGGAATGAACGCAATTATTATTATTTAAATTTCAAGTGTACCCAATATTAAATAGTGACCTTAAACTTGTCAAAAACCTCTAGATAATAAAAACAATTGTTCATAGAAGTGAAATATTTTCATTGGAATCTAATTGGTGTGGAATGTTTTCCAATTGGAAAATAAGAATTTCTGACGTTTAGAGAGGGCAAACAAATGGCGCCGGGATAGATTCACTCAAGTGTGAGTTGTGTACAAAGAAAGAAAAAAAGGTACATACCGCACATACATTTGTGTTGGCGCTTTACGCGGTTTGCAACTACAAATATCAAATATATGACACACACACACACATAGGTATATATTTGCGTTTATATTATAATATACGACCTTAGGTGTGCTCGGGCCTTCGCACGTGTTTTGTTAAGAATTCATTTCATTTCCAACGGGAACGGAAGAAATTAGAGAAATTAGCATTACCCCAGCCGAGCGTTTTTGCAGTGTCTGAAAAATAGCTTTTTGCACTAGTGAGATTATACATATTTATAATGTGTACAAAGGATGAAATACGAGGGTGCGCTCGACGTCGGTGGACCTTCACGTCCTTCCCTCGTTTTTCACTGACCACTTTGCTCGACTTATCCCGCACATTTTCCACACGAGCCACACGCAAGAGTTGCGGCGGTCACCTATACACAAGTTATTGTTAGAATAATATTATTGTTGTACTATAATTTATGCGCATTATCGGTATTGCTTTATCTTATCTTGAAGCGATTGTCTAGTCGCCCGAACAAACGACGCTCTTAGCGAAACGATTATTCGAGGCTGTATTAGACTTGCCAAGTTTTCCAATTAGTCGCGGGTCGAATTCAGTAAGTAGTGGCCGCGGCGATTAGGACAACCGTCGGTCTACCATATCTTAAACGTTTCCCTCTGTCCCGAGGACGCGTTTTCATTTATCTACTTTCATGTATACACGCCGTTGATATCAATTGGGTATAATATCTATCGGCTTGAGTCGAAAAGGGCCAGTGTCGCCTCTAACTCTGAATGCAAGCTAATCATAGCGGGGGCCGACTATTTCCAATAGGTATAGGTTTATTTGTCATATTTTCTCCTATGATTTAATGATGTGTGAAATACAGTAAACGGTTATTCTTACTAAACCCTATCGTTCTATAGTTTCAGCTTCCCGATGCCGTGAAAACCGTCAACAAATACAAGAACAGGCACGACCCCGAGAACGGAATCAGGGTGAGTGCTTCGTCGGTCTAACATCAGTGGACGGCAATTATTATTATTCTAATGGTATTTGTATTGTTATCGTTGCAATGCGTTTTGTTGCAGGAGACTCCGGTCGACATGTGCCGAGTCATCGGTACGTAGAACCAGACAAACACATGTCCTCGCTGTCTACTAAAATGTCCCGGCACTGATTTTTGGTAAGTAGATGGTTTTTGATTTCCAACGTATATATAGGTGCAACTTGTTATGGTATATTTTTATAAAATACATTTAAAACGGCAATACTTTTCAATAATTCGGATAATAGTAATCAGTCAACTGTAATTTAGACTTACTGATATGGGATAGGGAAGGTGGGTTGGGTCAGGGGCTACTGAACTATTGCGATGCGAGTGGGAAGTCGTATAAGCATTATGCAAATTATTCAATGTCCATAAAGCAAATGTACCCGGTTTTCGTATTCGGGACATCAGCGTTTAAATGTTGACGTTAAACGGCTGACGATGATGTTTTTATTCTTTTTTTTTTCCTCTAGATGATAAACAGTACACTCCTAAACGGGACACGATGTACATAATATTATGGAAAACCCTACAAGCTTAGTATATAGGGATTCGGTTTTCGGATTTGGACGAGGAAAAACGTGTAAGCCACTGGCCGTATAGTTGTAATTATTGTTGTTTATAATCTGTTTGTAAATTGATATCTTTTTCTATCTTGTGTTATGTATCATTATTATTATTAAGTGTTTAACAGAGGTTCTCTCTTTCTCTATCTCGCAATGTACAGTAACATTATATAAAAAAAAAAAAAGTATATTTGTTTTTTTTTTAATTTCACGTCAGTAAAAAAATAAAAAATTGAAAAAAGAGAATATTTTTTTTTTATAGCCACATACCCTCCGTGTTAAATATGTCTAAAACAATATCATCAGTCAAACCCCTGTCTATATAAACGTCTAATCGTTTTATTGATGTTTCCTTTTCTTCTGAAAGTTTATATAGATGAAATATTACGTTATTATTTTTTCAACGAACATGCATGTATATTAATATTATATAATACATATTTTATAGTTACTTAATATTATGAATAACGTGTTACTTATATTATTAAATTATAATATATTAAAATGTATAAAAAAAGATTTTTTTTTTAAACAAAGAGCACATATTATTATTATTATTATATCGTATTGTTTTTGTATAATGAATTTTTCGTTGAACGTTTAATTTCTAAGTGGATATTTATACAATTAATATTTAAACAATTTTGATGTTGAAGTTATTTGTTTGTCTTACGCGTTTATTTTGTATTGTGCGCGTGTATTTTATTGTTTATAAAAAAAATAAGTATAAAATTAAGAAAAAAAACCTGTTTTGTTTTAGTACGGATGATGATACGCAGTTTACTTTAATGAAAAAAATTATTATACTACCATTAATAATGTAAGTGTATAAAATAATATAATTATCTATGAGTTATAAAGTTTTTTATGCAAACGAAAATTATTTTGATGTTGATTGTAATCCTGTGAAACTTCCCTCTCCATATCCCGAGTTGACTTGAATGTCATAAAGTGTTTGCTGTTCAATTACATTAGTTATTTTTTTCCCCTCCCATTTAGACAACTTAAGTCAACAATCATTTTCAAAATGGAAAAGAAAAGTTTGTGCGAACGCCGACCGTTTGACAATAATTTAATTAAACACCCGTTCGTAACTGGAGTTCTCGTTAAAGTAGAATAATTTATTATTTTTAATTGTTATTAAAATGTCCCTTTGACTTATGAAACGAATGACATTACACAAATATCAATTATTCGGTGGTGTGGTAGATACATAATAAATTTAATTGATTTTCGAAACATGTAGTTACTTAACGTTGCCGCGAATTCCAAATTATCAATCGAGTTAAAAATAATAATTTAGAAAAAAAAACTAAAAAGGACGTTGATATTTTAAAGCCGTCGGAAATTTGTTATAAAAAAAAACTGTACTCTGCGCCGACTTTGAAACTGCATCCGCTTTGGAATTAAAAAATATAATAACCTCTTGAAACCGGAAATTCTTTTTCGAAATGACATACTTTTCACCCGTGAGGCATATTTTTAATAATAATTTCCGTACGCGTATGTTTAGCTATGGACGATGAACGCTTCAACAAACTAATGTTTCACACCGTTCTACTAACGTAGTTGTTTCATAAGGTAAGTACTAAAATGAATACTTATATTAGTTCGTCATAATATATTGACTGCCAATTGTGGTATCGTTATTGACAAGTGACATCACATACACAATATATGTTAATGGTTTCTAAGGTTAAAAGTTTTTTTAAAACTAAAATCTACGTTTGAAAGGAGATTAAATTATTCAAAAATATTTTTAACAAAAGGTTTTACAAATATTATTAAAATATAGAAAATGTTATCATAATAGCTAAAACATAAGTAAACTAATATTGGAATATATTTTTATAACACTTAAACAACACTTTGTAAATAATACTTATGAAAACATTTAATCTGCTTAAAAGATTTCGTTTTACAACTATTAAGTAACAAACATTTTACATGCAGTATTAACCACGCATTGTTACACGCCGTTGAATGTGTTTTTTTTTTCTATAACATTGACCCAAACCGCAGTCAATTTTAAATATTTTCAAAATATTATTAAAAAATGTTTTCATACTTTCTTGTACGACCATTGTAAAACTGATCCACATTGACAACCCTTACCTCGTCCTCATGCACGTTAAAGTTTCAAACTTCTCCAATTTTCTATAAATAAACTAAGAGAAATTACTTCTTGATTTTGTTTGCATAGTTTTGAACTTTACGCTACACTTGAGTGTTCAATCGTGAATCAATTTCAAACATCCTAACTGTCTGATGTCAATATTGATTAGCTTTATGTGTTTTCACTTTCCACAGATTCCATTTTATTTTGTTGTATTATTTTTTTGTTTCATTAAAAATATAAAAAAAACATATTGCCAAGCCTTTGAAATAATTTTTTAATTAAAAAAAAAAAATGGTTTTATTAGATTCGATTCAGAGCCGAGAAGGTATTGGTTTACAATGATATGTTAATTTTTTCAGTGCTTCGAACCCTTTTTATTCATTGGCATATAATACTGTTTATCATCTATAGTTTGGTATTGTAGCATTTTTATTTATTTTTTACGATTGATTTTATCACTTTCAGCTATAATAATAAATTCCGAATGACCTGTGACTGCCCCCCGCCCCGCTATGCTCGTCTCTTTACATTAAAAATGATAAAGATGGTATCTTTTCATATTGTCCATTACCTATCTGTGATTGTATAAAATACAAGAAATACATAATTAAATATGGACATTTTTATATATACAAAATATATTATTGTTTTCAATCGACAATGAAAAGGTTGTATTTTTTTACGGGAAAAAAACGTCCCATTGTTTCCCTTCATTTTAGCGCTGTTATACAAAACATATTATTAAACTATTGATTTAATCAATTCTCATTCGGCGTCAAGTCTGTCCATTATAATAGATATTTATAATGCATGTTCGGTTTTTATATGGTGTGCTCTAACGTGCTAGCGAACTGACTTAAATATACTGCAGTCCGCGAGAGAACGCACGTGCGCAGAAACCAAAACGCGGTATTTCTGTCTGCGCAGGCGCATACCATAGTTACGTCTTTTGGGTTTCTGCGCAATATCGCGTTCTCTCGTGGCGCGGAGTATGTACCAGCCAGCTGCATAATATATTCATCTATTAATCACCACCCTATAGTAAGATCGAGTATTACCCGCTGTAGTCGTTTATAGGTGGCTTTGTTGGTGGCTTTGCCTTCAAAGTAAGGGCTGCGGGTTCCTAAGCTGATTGACGACACGTACACGGCCAAGACGATGGCGCGCTTTGACGAGGACACAGTACGCTCAACCAGAACGTATACCGGCGTGTTCATTAGACGTAGGTACCTCAGAAGTGGATTTTGATTAATTTCATCGGCGGCGGCCAACGCGGTACCACCGGCTCTTTCGCATTTGTCTCCCCGGACGTGTGCAATTAGTCGCATATTTCGGTTTTGAGCATTTATGCGCGTACCTGAATAGACACGGGACGAGGGGCGAAAAAAAGAGCGAGTGCTCCGCCGGTTTCCTCCACCGCTGTCGCTAAGCCCTCGGCGAGACTTCAAAGTCGTGTTGTCAAAAACATTAAGCACCGAACACCCCTTCAACCCACCAATTGTGTTGTATGTGCTGCAGTAACTAGGCGGTTCCGCGTTTACGCCCTCGGATATTTTTACGTTGCAACGGAAAAGGATTATTGTATTATTATTTATGACGGATAGGCGCGACAGCCACGTCGGAATGATTTCATAAAACCGCGTCGACTGTGATATAATAATAATAATAATAATAGGGTCACGAACAAAAGCGTCCGGCAATGCGGCTGCAGGTCCGCCGTGGTAGTTTAATTCCAGCGGAGCAAAAATAAATAAAAATAAAAATTCAACGCTATCTCATAAATTTACAAACGCGCCGTACCGCTTGTACCTATGTTCAAAAGCCACGGTTCGACAAAATAAAATTACACATTCCTAATTCAATTGCCCTTTGTCAAGCGATTGTTGTAGAATAATGTCGTTACGCATTCGAGTGATGATAGTATTTCGGTTCCTAGGATTCCGCATTTTTCATAAAGTCAACTTTATACCGTAACGCGATTCTGAACTAACCCTATTATAGGAAAGGAACTACGTGGAATTATCCCTTCTTTACAACCGAGATGGTATGTTAAACACTAACGCGATTTTCTGTGTATAAACGACTATATTTTGACTAGGTACTTAGAATCTATTAAACGCGGTGCATTCTTAAATTTTTCATTTTTCATTGTCAACTCTTTTTGTATGATATTGTTAGCTATGAAAACAAATGAATAAACAGCGCGACTATTTCGATTTATGTCGGTAAACTTTTGGTTTTGATCCGTATAACTTATGATGTAAACATTTCACATTAGATGGCATCAGCTATTCGTTATAACCAAGAGACATTACTATACACTATAATAATTTAAGTGTTTGAAAATGTACAATAAGCGCAAAGAACTACCTTCATATGTATATATATATATATATTTTTTTTTTACGGTAATTGAAGTTTATCCTCGGCACGGGTTTGGACTTTTCCTTTGAAAACGTCTAAACATTTTACCCCCCAGGAATGTTTTTAACAATGATGATAATAACATAGATATATTATGATAATATTCTGAGCTGAACAACAATAATAACTCCGGGAAATTCTTCAGGTACCGAAAATAGTAGAATAAATATCTCGACTCCATATTTTTCTTAGTTCTTGCCATGTAATATGCGAACAAACGGCCGTACATCAGTCGACCTCTGAGCGCACGCCGGTCGATAATACACTCGTTGCCGAGAGCAAATCATTTTGTGTGTATTAATAAATTAACTGTTCGGCCACAGTGTCCGAAACCGGGTTCGATTAGAATATAATCAATAGAACGCATTGGGTACGATCAAACAACGGATCTCTATAAACTACTGCTAATTTGTTACGCCGCACTTAGGCCGGGATTAACAGCCTCACATAAATAACCATTTCTGTGCGTTCAATTAGTGAGGCCTGTCTTGCACAGGGATCGACAAATCTTATCGATTCCTACAATGGTTTCCATCCCGTTCCGGCCGAAAATGTTATCATCGTTGTTAGTATTTTTTTTTTTGGGGGGGGGGGTTCATTCAAACGATTACATTTGTTCCACTAGGACAACTCACGTGTGCCCAAGTGTGTCTCATGTACATATCTTATAAGACGGCGTTCCGTATAGGCAATTTAGGTGTGTTTGTGTTTAGAAGGAAGAAATAATAAACAAGAATATCGCTTAACAGTTTTTTTATTAAAGTGTCACCACATGACTCGCTTGGTTTGACTCTTCTGCGGGAAGATTAAAAAACTATGAAGAAATTTTGGTATCAAAATCAAATTTTTAACGAACAATTATAATTCAATTAGTTTTATTTGATATTGAAAAGTA